GGGGGGGGGGGGGGGGGGGGGGGACACACCCGGGGAGACGCGTCGCCGTACGCGTCCGTATCCGTATTCGTATCCTCGTTACGTATTATCCTTGCACGTTCATCGTATTACGTATTCGCGAGCGTAGAGACCGGACATCGTTGACGGTCCGAAACGACACTGTTTCGCGATCCGGCTCGAAAATCGGTGTTTCGTTTCCCCTCGATGGCACAAAGGCTCTCTCGCCGTTTGGCGAACCGGACGCCGTGCTCGTTCGCGACTACTCGCGCCTACTTCGTCGATAGTATCTCACCGATACCATGTATATAGAACGAATAACGATTTCTGCTTAGACACGGAACTAGGGACAGTTCCGAGAAAGTCGGAACTAAATCTTTAAAGGGAATCGATCGTGGTAGAGGTGTCACACACCGTGCGTCTATCCTACGAAACTTTAGGCCGACCGTCTGCCGTAGAAAAGTCGTCGGTGTTTTCGCGAGCTGCGACCGAATGCTCGGGAAATTGTAGCTGTTTGCTTCCTCGAGTGCGTTACCGGAGCTCGAACGCGTGCCTGCTCGTTCCATTCCATTCCTCTACACTCTGCGAACGTCGCCCGTCCGCGCTATCTTCACAATTTCCTATTCCAATCTTTTTAGCATTCTAACTAACGGCGAAGACTCGGCTAAACTCCTTCGTAGGAATCGGAGTGCGATAAACGCATTCTTAAAAGCTCTCTTCGCAAACGATTCACGGATAAACCTTCCACTCCGTTTGTCCTTGATCTTTACGGACTCTACCAGTTCCTCGAAATCCAACCACTTTTTCCATCTCTGTTTAGTAATTCGGTTCGGCTCGATTCGAAAAGCGGGTCTACTTGTACCAGCGGGTTTAGCTCGAACATCGACGAGCGCCAGATTTTCGCCCGAAAAGATACACAGAGTCTCCTCTTTCTCGTCGTCGTCGTCGTCGTCGTCGATCGTTTCGCTGCGATATCGTAGCGTCCAGGAAATGGGCCACGAAAACGGTGCAACGAACTCTCGATAGTATCCGTTATCGAGGTAGTAGGGCTGTTCATCGAATAATTTGAACCGCGGAAGGTGAAACGCCGCCCTTTGGGGATAAAAACGTTCATAATGCTGGAATGCAGGGGCGAGGTACCGGCAGGGGTGCTTAATAATGCAATATGGCGTCGTGGCGTCGCAACGCTATGCCGACTATGCCGCATACCACCACCATATACGCCTACGCTGCGAGAGCAACCCCCTCCGCGCCCCTTGAGAACGAGACGCCGCGGCCGCTCCGTTCAGCGCCGCGCGCCACGCCGGGAAGGGATGTTCCGTGCAATCGAATGCTGATTGGAAAATATTGATGGGGCTTTCCATACGGGGATAACGCGTCGCGCCGCCGCAGCTTTTTCTCTCGCTCCGGAATTCCGGAAATTATATCGGACGCGAACTTTCGAGGGACGACGACGACGACGTCGCGCTCCTCTTCCATCGCTGCTGATATTAATCGACGTTCATCGAAACGAGATCGATGGTCCACGAGAGCCGACCCGTGTCGCTTCTTCGTGGCCCTCTTATTCGTTACTCTTGCCGAATTCTTTCGGGCATCGCTGCCCGCTTTCCAAATTATTCTGCTGGTACGTTGTCGGAACGATCGAACTATGTACACTTCGAGACGGTATGCCGATTTCCAATGTGCTCGGCAAAGCCATTTTTATGGTTTCTCGAGAATGTTGGAGGATGTATTCGCAAATATATAAACAATATATTGCATCGCTAGCCAACCTCCCTTGGAACACCTCCGATTTCGATAAAACTTTGCAGAACTGATTCTATAATTTTTCTAAACTATCGATCTCTGCACGAAACGAGAAATCGACCGGATCGAATATTCTCGCACAACGGTGTAAGAAATGAAATTGGATCGTTGAAATGATAACGTCGAGGGTGGAGATTTTCGAGGGGTAGTTTTTCGCCTCTTTAACTCGAGTCAAATATTTCGTTGAATTGTTGCAGATGGGAAGATCGAAGTCGAAGAAAACCAAATGGACGAAAAACTTGAAGATGGAGCCGGAGGACTCCGGGAGAGTCCCGATACCCAATCTACCAAAGAACCATCTTTTAATGCGTGTACGTGTACGATCGTGACCGCGAATTAGACCGTTTCATTTGTTTCTCGAATATTTCCGAATCTCTAGAGTGTTCTACTTGGGCTGTTTCAGGTGAAAAGCGGCACAAAAATTAGAAATGTTCTCGGTTACGCTTTGAAAGAATTTCCAAACTACAACTGCATCGTGTGGACCTCGGCTGGCCATGGTATAGGAAAGGCCATTTCCTGCGCGGAGCTGTTTAAAAAGAAGCAACCAGGACTCCACCAGATCACGAAATTACGTTACACCGAGTGAGTTTTCTAGCAGCAAGAGTTTCTGAAATTTTCGACGTGATACGTTACGCGATCAATTTATAGATCGGAGAAGTCGAAAACGGAGAGTGCAAATGGCGGTGAGACGGCTAGCCGCCACGTACCAGAAATACACATCATGCTGACGAAAGAAGCGAAGGACATCTCTGTAGACACGCCCGGGTAAGATCGGTTTCTTTATGCTTATTATTATTATTATTATTATTATTATTATTATTGTTACTAGTGGTAATAGTAGTAGCAGTAGTAGTATTTAGTAGTAGTATTCACAGCTTCGTCATCGGTGAATTTAGTTATCAGGCACCGGACGATATCGGGGAATTCTTGGACGAAGAGGAAATAAAGAACGGTAAGAAAGGTGGGAGACAGGAAGCTGGTAGTAATGTGACCTGCATCGATGCCGAGGAATTCGCGGTAATGGGGCTGAGGGCGGGTAAAAAGAGACCGAAGAAAGAAAATCAAGCGGAAGCACCGCCAAAGAAGAACAAAAAACGGAAGAACTAATAATCAGCAGCGATAGATGATCCATCGAACATTTATCATCGTACCATGTATAACGTATGTTTGTATTAAATAGAAAGTTTATTCTTTATCAAGTACATGCACGTTCGTTACAGAAATGATCGCATAACAATATACTCCTGTCGTCTCCTTTGTTAATGAATACTCTTATTTACAAAGTGTCTGTTATGCACATGTACAATGCCGCAACAACGGTACGCGCGAGTTGCATACGTGTTGCGTACCTTGTCGCATGCGAAAAAAGGTATGCACGAACATCGTGAACTTACGTTTAGTACGAAAATTTCAGTGCCTTTTGCGTAAATTCGTTTGCAAAATCCATTTGTTTGTTCACTTTTTTTTCTTTCATGTTTTTTTTTTTCAAAAAGGACATTCCGTCGCGAAGAATTCGAAAAGATCGATAAGCGAGTCGTTCGAAAATGAATCGATGGAACAGCTTGAAGTTTACTCGAATTCCCGAGACTTGTTTTTATAATTGCTAGAAATCTGGCAATATGTCAGAATTCCGTACGATTACTACCTATTACCCTTACGTCTAACAACTGACCTTGGAAGTATCACTTCTTCGAGTCGTTAAATATCATTCGATAACAGGAGAAAAGCTTAATATACCAGTTTCATTACCACACGAGATAAATATCGTATAAATATTTATTACCAACACACTGCCATTAATCGTAATGTTGAATAAGAATCCGTTAAATATTGTGTGATTATGATAACATCGTGTCGATAAATTGCTTTACGTTAATAATGAATAAATCTATCTATTTTTATCTCTGTATTCTTTAAAAATTCTTTAAAAGGAAATCAGTAAAAATCAGTCGGTTTAACTCTTACTTGATAATTCAGTTAGAACTTGCACCTTATTCCATAAATTTAAATGAAACCATTCCGTGCGGGGAAAAAAAGCATTTTTGAGCTCGTACGTACAAGTAATTGTTCGCTTGAACAAAATTAAATATTTTTACAAAAATATAAAACTACCTTTAACGAAAGAGACACGTTCAACTCGAATTTCTTCTCTCTCTCTCTCTCTCTCTCTCTCTCTCTCTCTCTCTCTCTCTCTCCCTCTCTCTCTTATTAATACGTATAATACTTATCTAGCCGAGTTATTTAATCGCATATAGAGATAAGAATTCAGCGACGCATAAACGAGCTTGAGTTCGATATATTGTAGAAAATATAATCGGTAAAAGAAAGTGTATCTTCGTGTTTATGCAAGTATATACGCCATATCTTCGAATCTTCGAAAGAAGATCGCCGTATGAAACGACTTAACGACAGTTACTGTTCATGATTTCAATTACCTCCTATTATTATAAATCGTACACAAATTAATAATAAACGAATACTGTAAATGTTATTAAGCACGAAAAACTGCTCCGTACCAATTTTAGAAAAAATCTCCAAATCGATTTTAGAAAAATTGAGAACAAGAAATTCTAATGTAAGATTTAGAAATTCACATTGTGTTTCAGGTGGAATAATTATCGGAACCGTTTCCAACGGTCCCGTCGCATTTGCAACTACGTCAAGAAATACTCCAGCAATATATCAATGTTATCGATGATCTCTCTAAATCTGACAAATCAACTTTGGGCAGTATAAATAAATATTTAAGTTCTAGGCTTCGCTTTCCGTGGTTCCGTCTTCTTCCATTATTGGTACTATCAAACATTCCTTCGACATCAAACTGTATTTTGTTACAAATGCTGTGAACCTGTGACAAAATAATTTATACGGTAAGAAAACACGCAACTGTATGAAATTTACAATGTACATCGTTCTACCTGCGACACAAAAATGTCTCGATCTCGAAGTCGTCAAATATTGTTCTGTGATGGTAATACGCGTGAGAGAAGATTCTGTAAACTCTGCGACTAACAGATCCAAGCTTGGCAACGGAAGATTCCTTGATACTCACTCTGAAACGAACATTCAAAAATTACAAACGCGTAATTACATTAACGGTACGCGTTCTCATTTTTTGGTGTACCTGCTAGGAAAATACTTGTTACTGTTAAGTAAACAAGCAGCGCCGTCGAGAGTGTGTCGTGTGTAATCTATAGCTGGACATTCCTTGGGCGTTTTATGCGCGGCACACAAAAATATCCATTGTTCGGTAGCTGTCATTTGCGTACAAACTTCTGGATGACATTCCTCCTGCAGTCTGACCGTCAAACCATTTAATTCCATACAAAATTGCCTGAGATGCTCGTATTTCCATACAGCCTCGTCTTGCGCCTCTGGCATTTCTAGTATTAAATCAACGTTCGAAGGTTCTCTTCGGATCATCTGTTGTATGTACTGCTGCACTGCCAGCGTACTGTCCATCTCTTCGAATGGTTCGTCGGGCCATCGGCAGAAATCCTAAATGTTATAAAAAGACTTACAAGTTCTAATAATCGTTTAAAGAGTCTCCATTATTACACAATAGCAACAATGCACATTGTTATCACCTGCCCAACATTTACACCTCTATCGTTAGGGCGTAACATGATAAGCATTTGCAAAACATCTAATTAACCTAAAATCGTGTTAGGGCTAACAAAGAATCTGTACATTGATAAGGGGATATACGCGGCATCGGATAAACAGGGCAATATGTATTATTGGAGTCTGTAAACAATCGTTTGTTTTGTGGGCCGTTCATTGATTTTCATCGGACATGCCAGGAACGCGTTCGAACGTTTCTGCCCGTACACCCCGTAAAATGGAACGCGTATCCGACTATTGTGTAGAAAGTACGGCGACGATAAATCGTTAACAAAAATAACATCGTTATTAACCTTTGCTTTGGTCCCGGGCCTATTTCTTCTGAGAATCGTAGGTCCGTCCGCCATCTTCATTTTGCTTCGATCAGCGTGCACGGTGCGATCGTATGAAATAAAAAGGTCTGCTGTGTCGCATTAACGTCGGCTGATGTCGGCACGTCGGCACTGTCGGCATGGAGATGCGATATTGGCCTACTACATAGAAACTAGCGACATCACACAATCGATACACGATGGTACATGCTTTGTACACAATTCAAAAACTTTTACAGATATACGATATATGGACATGAGCGAAACAACGTAGAAAAGTTTTTTAACGCAAATCAAATTCTATCGATGGGTACAGGATAGATGATAAAATCGAACTTTAATTTAATATGTGGGCTTATATTTGTAATAATTGTTTAATGTATATACAGGATAAACAGAAATATGCGATCTGCAAGACAACCCTAGGATTCCGTTGTTTCTTTTTCTTTGTACAATACTTGGAGAATGGGAAACTTGACTAATGCATCCTTAAAAGTTATAATGTTATTCATTCGTATATGTCTTCTCTATCCGCGACGTAACGCACTATATCTGCCGGTCGTAATAATCTCTCTGCATCCATGTCCGGTATTTCGAAACCAAATTCGTCTTCTATTGCCATTATAATTTCTACATGATCCAAGGAATCCAGGCCCAAGTCATCCATGAAGTGGGACTCCAATCTCAACTGTACAAAATTTAAAATCGGTTTAATACAAGTTGCATGGGCACAGAAACTTTTTAATAACTGATATGTAACGATAACAAGAATATAATTCTTCTTTATTTTTTTCATCATTTATATTTATAGCGAATACGATATTTTGCTACTGGGACTTTAGAACTATGTTTACATATCAGTCTTGATTCGGAGACACCACGATTCAAGCAAAGTGTTAATTGATTGCTAATATTCTCAGAAGTTATCTATGAACTCATTTTATAACAAATATAACATAGTGATTACAATAATTCTATGCAACTCGATTTTTACGTGCTAACGGTTAATAAAATGTTCGAGGAATTGCAGAAACACCTTTACAAGTATCTTTGGTATTATATCATCTTGTAGTAAATAGATACCTTCTTAGGATCAACTTTATCATAGAGATTAAGTACTAAAAGTACTCGCTGGCGAATAAATTCAAGTGTTAACGGTGGCTTATGGCTGTAGAGGCGCACCTGCTTGACTCGTGTGTCCTGAATGTCCTGAAAATAATATTTTGTAGAAAGTGTGTTTAATAACCTTTACCTCTTCTTTTTTAAATAAGACTCCAATCGTATTTAATACACGTTCCTCGGTGGTCTTAGTTTTCCGTTCGGTAGCATAAGTGCGAACACATTCGGTCCTTACCTAAATATATTTACATAAATTTTACATATTAAAGGAAATAACACGAAACGGAAGGAGCTTAAAATATAAATGAAACAAATAATATTTAGTATAATAGCCTGTGTAATATGAGTAAAGTTCACAGCGAATCGCACGCCTGAAATCAATGATGATCAAAATTTGTTAAATCGATCGAGCTTAAGAAATCGAAGGTGACGTTTTAAAGATCTGTCATTTTCCATGCTATGTATTCTAATGTTCAGCCAAAACATGAAGCATTTCAGTTATATAATATGTGATTTAAAACACGACATACGCAAATCACGTAAGAAGATTCATAAGCTCTCTGCATGTAAGGACGACCAGTGTTTACCTGTGGCAGAAGTGTGATGGTACTTTGTCTTTTACCATGAAAACATCTTTCAGTTGATTGAAGTTGCGTGGCTGTAGCACGTAAACAAAATCGACCGATCGAATTCTTAAAAGAACCGGTATTTCTTATTAAAAGACGGATACCCGTGAGAGACGCCATTTTCTCAGCTGCAAACGGGAAATGCAGTCGACAAGCTTAGACCACGGATCAATGATCCGGTGGACATATAGGATCGGTGTTCTATCCCGATTTCACCAGTGTATCCAAGGGAGCGATGGTGGCGACCTGCATTTCACCGCGCGTTGTTCAAACCAGAGTATTTTAACAATTTTCTTTTTCTTATTTCCATTGAAATATCCGAAACAATTAGGTTCTCTGTTAATTCTATCCATCTTGTAAAAGCGTATTCCCACTTCTAGATCCTTTCCCTTCTCCAGATCCCTATATCCAGATATTTCTTCCTTTTAACACTAATAAAATCTTTAAATCCTTATTTTTAGATACATCTGCTTCCAGTTTTGGTCTTGGCCTTTCTCTTTTTAACTCCTGTGATGTTTACTGTTCCGAAATCTTAAATTTTAAAATGACAATTCTGAAGAATCGTTTAAAAATTAAATTCAATGTAAAATTACAGTCATTAGCTTGTCGTTGATTGCGTATGCTTTACTCGTTTTCGTAATTTCGCGCGTTATTTTCTCCACGAAAGTGCAACATCTACAGAGAAACTTGCTATCGTGTATATCTTATTATTAAATGGTTTATAGATATTGTTAGAGATATTTGTCCTGTTCGAGAAATGGGAGGCGCGTGAGGGGGGAGAGCCTGTTTTGTTTCCAATAGACAGCACACACCGCTGAAGTCTCTGTCACATTTTTCGGTGATCTTGCGTTGGGTAGCTGTGCTAAACGACTGTGGCGCCTTTTGCGTAGAAAAAAATGAAGCTACGTTTAATGCCCGTACACAGCGCCAATCGAGTTAGTAGCGAAACGCTCAAACGCTTAGCCAAAATCGACTGTCGATAATTTGGCTANATTCATAAGCTCTCTGCATGTAAGGACGACCAGTGTTTACCTGTGGCAGAAGTGTGATGGTACTTTGTCTTTTACCATGAAAACATCTTTCAGTTGATTGAAGTTGCGTGGCTGTAGCACGTAAACAAAATCGACCGATCGAATTCTTAAAAGAACCGGTATTTCTTATTAAAAGACGGATACCCGTGAGAGACGCCATTTTCTCAGCTGCAAACGGGAAATGCAGTCGACAAGCTTAGACCACGGATCAATGATCCGGTGGACATATAGGATCGGTGTTCTATCCCGATTTCACCAGTGTATCCAAGGGAGCGATGGTGGCGACCTGCATTTCACCGCGCGTTGTTCAAACCAGAGTATTTTAACAATTTTCTTTTTCTTATTTCCATTGAAATATCCGAAACAATTAGGTTCTCTGTTAATTCTATCCATCTTGTAAAAGCGTATTCCCACTTCTAGATCCTTTCCCTTCTCCAGATCCCTATATCCAGATATTTCTTCCTTTTAACACTAATAAAATCTTTAAATCCTTATTTTTAGATACATCTGCTTCCAGTTTTGGTCTTGGCCTTTCTCTTTTTAACTCCTGTGATGTTTACTGTTCCGAAATCTTAAATTTTAAAATGACAATTCTGAAGAATCGTTTAAAAATTAAATTCAATGTAAAATTACAGTCATTAGCTTGTCGTTGATTGCGTATGCTTTACTCGTTTTCGTAATTTCGCGCGTTATTTTCTCCACGAAAGTGCAACATCTACAGAGAAACTTGCTATCGTGTATATCTTATTATTAAATGGTTTATAGATATTGTTAGAGATATTTGTCCTGTTCGAGAAATGGGAGGCGCGTGAGGGGGGAGAGCCTGTTTTGTTTCCAATAGACAGCACACACCGCTGAAGTCTCTGTCACATTTTTCGGTGATCTTGCGTTGGGTAGCTGTGCTAAACGACTGTGGCGCCTTTTGCGTAGAAAAAAATGAAGCTACGTTTAATGCCCGTACACAGCGCCAATCGAGTTAGTAGCGAAACGCTCAAACGCTTAGCCAAAATCGACTGTCGATAATTTGGCTAACAGTTTGAGCGTTTTGCCACGTACTAATTGGCGCTGTACGGACCTTAAAACAAGCTTCGGAATTTCGCCACGAGAGGCGCCCAAGTATTATCGCATAAAATTTAAAAAAAATATGAACATGTTCAAATTTGCTGGCGGAATTATCAAAGTTGCCGACTGGGGCTGCAACGTGTGATTTTAGTTCCATGCTAGATTAGAGCGACATCATTTGTAGCTAAGTTTCTGCGATAAAAAGCTTGGTAACTTTTAGTAATATTTTCATTTGAACGTATGGCAAAACTGTCTGGTTCAACGTGACGACAAATGGTTTGTAGTAGAGTTCGTGTTGGTGTTTATCTTTGGCAAGTATTTTTTTCTGCTTCTGACCAGCCAGCGAATTTTCTGACTGTTTTGGATAAAGTGTGTGTTTGAATTTGTAACCTTGATACCATATGTACTGGAACAGCAGTGATCAATATGTGGGTGAAGCCACAAGAGGTTCTACTGGCAAACGCTCTCTGGTAAATTAATATGTAGACATAATGCTTGGACGTACCATTATAATTACTGTTTACATCGTGTGTCAAACACAGCTGACATTACTCCGCTCGAGGATTCGAACGGTTTTCGTGGCTTATTGTTCATTAACATTTCGCTAACTCCTGCGCACTCGATCCCAATGGAAGTGTGGCTTTTTTTAAATAGCTTTTCAATTTATCGGTCGGTGTTATTTGTTCACAGAATAAGTATTGAAATCGAAACGACGTTACCAAACAGAATTTCAAACAAGTTCGAAATCACTGAATCGGTCTCGCACTTCTTTGTAATAATACGCGACATAGAAATCGAAAGTATACTGTGTCCCGTATGGTATGCACGCACTATTATTATTGTAGATAAGAGATATTTCCGCTATATAGAAGCCGCTTTGACGGATTATCGGTGAAATTAATATTATGCACCGTGGATCGTTTCGTAATCTGACATTCTCATGGATTATTTTATAGAAGCCAGAATAAGGGATAAAGTTTATTTTGCCAGCTAGTAGAGCGGCTCACGGTAAAAGCAAAATACATATAAATTTTTATTAATACATAGGTTTACTTGTACTTTGCAAATTCACTTATATTCATTTTGGCAAATTTCACTTGGATCGCATATTTGTACAAATCAAGAACAAATTCTACCAACAGATATTTTTCAAGAATAATTATTTTTGTTTTCTTTAAACTATGTAGGGTAACAGAACAAGCAACAGTGTATTTTGTTTTACAACGTCGTAAAGGACATGGAAAAACAAAAGGTCTTGGTTCTATATTGGTGGGAACATTGGATATTGTACTTGATACTAAACCTCCACCTTTCAGGATACTTCACCAAACACCATCGTCAGAAGTTTATTGGGGTAAGATATCTGGAAATAATATAGAATTAAAATAAGACAGTCGATTCCATGTTCGGGCTAATATCGATTTTATTATATTTCTAACACGTACAGAAGTCGCATGCTCCTTGACGCACGAAGAAATCTTGCAAGATTGGGACTGGCTTCACGCTAACTTGATGGATACTTTGACTTCTTTCGACACGGAAGAAGAAATAACCGAATTTGTCTGCTGCAAGATACAGTCTATTATCGCGAACAGTGTTCCAGATTGTCAATTTGCCGATGGTGAATGAATTGATACGATTAATTAAATAATCGAACGTCTTATGTACACGAATAGGTTCAAACAAAAGTTCGATTGTTCACAGAAGAAGATCCGGAATCATTTAAAACTACATCTTTTAAATTTCATCAACTTTTTAATATACCAAAGGAAGATAAATTGGTCAATTATTACTCTTGCAGGTACTTATGGATTGTAGCGAATGTATCGTATTTTATATTCACGTACAGAGAATTCTGTAACATTGCGAATCTCTTTTAGTTACTGGAAATCTCGTTTTCCTAGACAAGGATGGCTGTACTTGTCGGTAAATCATATGTGTTTTTACGCATATATTTTAGCAAGAGAAACTAAATTAATTATAAGATGGGCAGACATTACCGAATTGGGGAAAACCAATTCTATTCTATTTCCTGACAGCATACGCGTTGTAACTAGAGACAATAAAAAGGTAACGAAAATGTTGCTTACAATAGATTGTTATCGATATCTCACGTATTATTCTCATATTTTCATTTATTCGCAGCATTATTTTTCAATGTTTGTGCATAAATCAGAGACATATTCGTTGATGGAACAACTTACAAATATTGCTATGAAAAGACTTATAGACGAGAAGAGTGGCTTCAACGAAGACAGAGAACTCTTACATAAGCTAAGGTATTTAAGTTATCCCATTATGTGCAATTAAAATTTGTATGTAACGATTATAACTGGGTTTACATTTTCAGCAAAAATGTACCTAAAAAACCATCCTTTTTGAAACGTGATCTCGATGCAAGAGCACACTCGGAAGCATACAGGTTACAATTCAGATTGCCAGGAAGTGAAAAATTGGATGGCAGTATCGATGCAACACTGTGGACACCGTACAATAAAAGATATGTTTGGGGAAAGATATTTCTATCTCAGAATTATCTCTGTTTTGAAAGCAGGGTAAATTATTTTGACACATCTGAATGTCTATAAAAGATAACACGATACCATAATTCAATAATATTTACTATACTTTAGGTAAGAGGATTGGTAAGTTTAGTTATACCTCTCAGGGAGGTGAGACTCATAGAACCTGCTGAAAATCAGTCGTCCAGTACGGGTATAGATAAGTCCATATTAATGACAACGGCACGAGCGTCTTTTTTGTTTGCTCAGATCCACGACAGAGATTTCGTCGTTCAAAAAATATCTGAGTTATTAGCAAAATCGAAATTGTCGGCTTTGTAAGTTGTTAACTTCACTTTTATTATTAATTTCACTGCTATTGATCCATCTTCTCACATTTTAATAGAAGTATCTCGGACAGTTTGCCGTTCCAAAACAGTTCGTCTCGCGGCGACAGCAATTCTGACGAAGCTAAACCTACTAATCTGTGGAAACCGCAACCACCATTAATGACATTATTCAAAGCTCCGTTAAGTAGCGAAGCAGCGCTAAAACAGGAAGCTAAAGAAAAGCAATGGGAGCTTCATTTTGCAGAATATGGCAGGGGTATTACAATGTACAGAACGACAGAGACAGCAACGTTAATAATTCAGGGTCTACCGCAGACTCTTAGAGGAGAAGTTTGGCTCACATTTTCTGGTAATGAATACGATATTTGACAAAATGATCGCGTCTATGCATGAAAATATAATTTTTCCTTGTACCTATAGGTGCTTTGAATGAAATGATAATGAATCCCGGTGTTTATAAATCATTAGTTGACCAATCGCTAGGCAAGTCTTGTCAAGCAAATGAGGAGATAGAAAGAGATTTACATAGATCATTGCCGGAACATCCAGCGTTTCAATCGGATACCGGTATTAGTGCGTTAAGGAGAGTGCTCTCCGCATATGCTTGGAAGAATCCACAAATTGGTAAATGTGTTGGACATCTTTTAATATTCTTATTAAACGATCGATGTGTTAAAAACAACTTCTGTCTCGCAGGTTATTGCCAAGCAATGAATATAGTAGCATCCGTTTTGTTAATCTACTGCTCGGAGGAATCTGCCTTCTGGCAGTTATGCAACGTATGCGAATCGTTGTTACCCGATTATTACGACAGAAGAGTAGTCGGTGCTCTTGTTGACCAAGGCCTTTTAGAAGAGCTAGCCGCCGAATACTTACCAACGTTACACGCTAGGCTACAGGAACTTGGACTAATCAAAGTTATATCACTTTCATGGTTTCTGACTATATTTTTGAGCGTCATGCCGACCAGTAGCGCCGTGATTATAATGGACTGCTTTTTCTATGACGGAGCGAAAGTAATATTCCAGGTATTTACATGTTCACGGACATGCGCGCATACATACGTTCAAATATTTTTCTGTTAAATTAATTTTAACTTGTGGAAATCTTGAACTCTATCGTTATCCTTTCTAATGAATACAGAAATAAAGTACATAAAGAAGAAATTTGAAGTAAACAGGTCTTTCTTCCTGTGCCAGATAGCATTGACAGTACTGGAATGGAATCAAGATAAACTACTTAATTGTCGTGACGATGGCGAAGCAATGCAGTTATTGACAGATTATCTCGGAGGTGTGTTCAATGACGAGGGTCCTGTGTTGCCTAGACCAGTTGACAGTGCCACTCCTAACAGGGTGAGCATGTTTGCCCCGAATTTATCTTTCTACATACAAATACGTACGAATTCATAGATGCATATATATATACTTGTTTTAGAGTATATCTGTTCAAACTTTAATCTACGAAGCATACTCAAGATATGGTACATTGACTACGGGGGGTATAGAAAGACTTCGTTTGAAGCATAGACTTAGGGTAGTTCAGAGTTTAGAGGATGGTATTGAAAAGAACGTACTCAGGAGCGTTATCGTCGATAAGTACATGACAATGGAAGAATTACAGGTAGAATAATTACTATAATTGTATATGTACAAGAGACGTGTAATCTCTGAAAGACGTCGAATCTTATATATCCAGGATCTGCTAAGCTTAGTTAGAGAAGAATTAATGAGTCAACGAAAATCTGAGCCTGATCGCTACGATCCGACACAACCCCCGTACGAAGCATACAAAGTGGATTTTGAGTTGTTCAGAATATTATTCGGTGGTCTATCTCCATGGGGAAAATGTAGTCAAGCCGAATCCTTGTCTGCCCGATTATTTCGCGTAAGTTAATCACGCTTTAACGATGCGATTAGTTTTTCTATATCTAATTTCAATGGTTTTCAAATGCATAAGAAAAACCAAGTCGTGCGATACATTAGAGGATTAACATCTACGTGTATCTCTTAATTTTATCGTATAAGATCAAGCGAATTCAGAAAATGTTTATAAGTACTATTGTACTATCAGTTGATGGACCGTAATCGTGATGGTTTGCTAAACTTTCGGGAATTAGTACAAGCTATCGGAATGACAGCGACTGCTGACTTGACACAAAGGTTGAAGCTTTTGTATACTCTACACTTACCGCCGTTGCTTACCCCCGCTGACTTTGAATCGCCCGTGCAATCTGGTAAATACCGTACTCGCGACGATACCCGATCAAAGGGAAACGATAATAAATCTTTAAATGAATATTAGATGGAGCAGAAGTAGCCGCAGAAGCTACAGATTTTTTTGACAGCATGGAACAAAGTGTCGCTTCCTTGGAGCTGCCGGTTAGTCTGGTGGAAGAGCCGTGCGCGGGTTCTTTGTCTCGATCGATAAGCTTGACGGCCAGCAAGACGGATAGTCAAGATCAGTCTTGGGAGATTCAAAGCATGGGCAGCCTACGCTCTATGATAACATCTAAAGACAGTCCTTTGGATTTAAAAACTGTGCCAAAAATGTCCCAAGGACATTTCATAGCGTTATGGAAAACTCTGTACGATATGTTTCCCGCACAACCAGAAGATCAAGAAACTTATCACTGTATAGCTTCTATAGGTAAAAATTCTAAACAAATACACATATACTACCGACATATAACATTGCATTCCTAAATAAGTAAGTATGTGTTTTGTTCGATGTAGGTACTCTTTTGCTTCAATTAGGCGACGTTGGAAAAAAGTTTTACGTCGACCGGGATGAATCCGAGGATAGTTTGCTTTTAGCTGCTACGGCTGCACAGCAGTCACCCCCGACCGCCGAACGGGTACGTTTATAATAAACGAATCGTTTTACAGCATGTAACACATGTCAATTTTTCCAGTCGCATGATCGAAACGGAAACCCATCGAGCACAACGTCATCCACCGATCCAGAATGGTCAATAAGCGTCGAACAGTTCCTGGCATCCGCCTTAACAGGTCACGCGATCGTAGACTTCTTTAGCAAACGAACAGATCTTACCGATGCAATTACAACGCTAAAGAACCGTAGATTTAATCGTGTTCATTCCTTGTCGGACACGCCCGTGTTAAGTGTATGATACACAGACTCGTCTGTGTATGAAGATAGTGTAAGATATATACATAAAAATTTATAAAGTGATAGATTGCCTTGAATAATTGACCAGCGATTTCTTTTCCTAAGGAAATTTTTACATTCGTCGTAACTCTGGTGAATATATGCTTATTTGAGGAATAGATTGGCAACGGGAAAAGTGTTTCTGCGAACAAAAGGTGAGAGTAGAAGCGAGCCAAGTAAACTCTCTCATTCGCGCCTTAAGAAGGAAAGCCGTGAGCAGCAAAGACGTCCAATCATTTATGCCTACAATTTTCCTATTTAGTAGAAACGAGTTTATTGTGCAGACACGAATTCCGAAGCGATCAAGAGGTACATACATGTTAATTTCTTTAAAAGACACGAATTCATTGGCCTACGACAGTAATAATGATGTACGCGTTGAAATTTGAGAAACGAGTGAATACTCAGGGTAAATATATATTAAACGCATTTCCAGTGACTTTTACAGATTACTCGTGCACGATGAGCAAGTTGCCACCGGTTGATACTAACACAACAAATGTATTTTTTAGTACTAAATTGTTAAGCGTTTGTAATACATGATAATTCCTCTCGATTATAACATGAATGATATATGCACAAAATTTACGTCATCAGTTATTTAAGCGTATTGTTTAATCTTGTATGTTTATCTTATAAATTTGAGTAATATGAAATTAAGCAGTATTATAGAAGTGTGTGTATAACAAACAAAAATGTTAAAACTCTTATTATAATAAACCGACGCTGCATTTATAACACATGCTATCTTGAAACGATAGCGAACAATTTCCTAAAATGTTCAACAAAAATTTTTCTAACCGATACTACTTTTAGAATATTATATAAAATATGCACGTAATGCCAAAAATTTATAGTAGACACATGTATTATAAAATGTTTATGAATACTTTGTCCGAATGCAGTTGTCTACCGATACTTGAGATTATATATTAGCTTCAAATATAATATTGATTTTTATACCTACAAGTGACGTATGCATAATTTCCGAATAAAATGATTAAAATTTGTTGCTCCAGAAGAATTTAAGAATTAACTATTTAAAGAATTTCTTTTATTAACAATAGATGTATATAAAAAGTCGTTGCTTCGTACGTGTACAAATCCTACGGTAAATAGTATATACGCTAAGACTGTTACAACCGAACGCGAATGGTCAGAATGATAGTTATATTTTACTCGCGTTGTTTACGTTTTTCTAATTTTATTGAAAGTGTAAAATAATGGAGTTACATTAAAAGTTCTTAGGTAAAATGCCATCATTTTTCGCAAGACGTACTAAGCAATCATCGGATTCACCCTAAAAGAAATTTAGACAATTATTAACACATAAAATCTACAAATGTAACGCATACGGTGGATGTAAAAATTCACGTACCATACGCCTAATAGCTCCACAGATTGCATACATTTTCTGCGAGTCTGTCATACGTCCGGTTTCAGGATCAACATCGGCAATGCTCAATTGGATGGAAGCATGATCCTTAGCATGGATAATACGATTACTCGAAGAGCTGTTGATACAAATATTGTTATTTATTAGTCAAGGTTAGATTGTAACATGATTTCTGCATTCAATTTAGGTCAGAATGTATGGCATTTACGTGGACAATTTCGTTCTCGTTGTTTACGAAATAATTTGCACAATATTCCGAAACATTTTATCAAAGAACCACAAAGTTGTCTCGATTCATAACAAGTATAACCCACGTGTAGCGCTTACCATTTTCTTGGAATATACAAGTCAACAACATCTCCATTGTCGTTTTCCATTATGCTGGCTGCAACGAAAATTAAATTACAAATTTTTTATCATATTATATGGAAATAGTACACAAGAACCAATTAAATTGACACATTTTTCCTCACTTTTATTTAGTATGTGTACACCGTAAATGGCTACGGAACGTAAAGAACTTTTTCCAGTGAGTTTACGGATATGTCGTAAAGGAAACACGAGCACCAACGTTATTCGCAGCTAGAAATAAGTCCCTAGAAGTTTCTACCATGCGTTGTACATATGTATGCATGTATATACATACATAGAACCTTGTCTGACTTTGCGTCCTTGTTTGTGTCTGAAAGTGGTCTGGAACAATGAAAAGTCAAATAGATGAATCATCCATAATGGAAACAAGAAGGAATCGTAAATTGCATGTACACGCATGTTTCAAAAACGATGCAATGTACAAAAAAAATTACCAGTACATATGTACTCTGATATTGCCACAACAGAAATAGCCGCATCAACTCTTGCCGATATTGCGTCATACACAGTGACAGAAAATCATGGATTTTTGTTTAATCATGTATGGCGGTAAATATATACTTATGATAAATCGTATAATATGTATGTACAAAGAAGAATAGATACCTTTGTACAAGCATGTCCATCTGTGAAATCGCAGTCGCGATTTAAATATATTAACGAAGCTTCGAAAGAACTCGAAAAATGGATATCTATCGTCTAGAATGGTAAAATTAATCACGGGTACAACAGGTTTTTTGCTTGAAACGTACGAATCAAAATTATGCAGCGGTAGAATAATACATACGACGATAATAGTTGTGTATCGCAGATATATGTAGTATGTTATTTTTACGAACGGCATAAAGACCAAAGAAACAAGAGGAACAGAACATTCAAAATACGCCTAAATTTTCATCATCCAACTTACGTAATATATCATAATTATTGCGAGATTCCTGATCTCTGTGTCCTCCTGTTGTTCTAAGATTCAATTTAATTCTTAAAAGGTAACGGACTAGAGCATGCTTTGCTTGTTACGGTTTAGACGCACGATCGATGATTCTGTAATCTCTTCTACAATACAATCGAATCGGAGTCATTCTTTCTCTTGATTTCATCACTCTATTATCGTTTGTTCACTCTCTTACGTGCTTACGCGTTCGATACACCCTAGTCCGTCTTTTTCTTCTCACATCATTCCCCCGTATTTTTCCTATTATTGTCCAAATGTTGGATCATACGAATATCAACCTTTAATTTCACATTTGCATTGCCCATTGTAATATTAGTTTTAGGAACCTTGTACCAACATACACACCTGTAAACGATCGCACGAGCGTGTACGCGCGCAGGGACACGTACGCACGCTCGCATACACGTTTATGCATAGCTGTGTTATATCTTTGTGGCGACTTATATGCAGCTTACAGTCGATAAACCGAATCGACTATTAAGTAAAACAGAAAGAAACACGTAAAAACAAATCACGGGATACGGTAGGAAACAAATAAAACTGCAAAGGTAGACAAGACAATAATAGAGTACTATGCAAGTCGTGTAAGGAGGAAGAGAAAAAGGGGAGACAAGAAGAAGAAAAAGAGCTAATTAAAGAGACAGCGGTATAGAACGCGTATGTATTGTCTCACACAGTTTTACCATACTAGTTGTATGACGAAATTGTGAACAATTCAGTAAAGATACGAATGACAAGAGTTATTTCCTTATATGGTTTTGTCATAACACAAGCGCGCGCGCGCGTGTTGTAACATAATATAACATATATATTATATATGTATAGAATAAACTTGTTTTCTAGGCAATGTGTCGATCCGATATGCATATGGTTGTACGGCCATAGCCAATTCACACTCTTGCTCACGATCAGTGCTACCACAAACAGGGAAGCTTTATTTTTCCAACAAAAAGAACTAGCATATGAAAGAAAATGGGGTGAGACAAATGTACTTGTAGAAATACGGAATAAAGTTTAACGTCTTGCATTTCGAGCATATACATATGTATACATACGTATATAATATATAATATATAATATATAATATATAATATATATATATATATATATCGCCTAGCGTCTCGCAGGCGATCGCAATAAACGAAACGACTGATACATAATGGGAATGGTAGAGAAAAAGGTATGAAATGAAATATGAAATATGTAGAAGACGTGACAATGAGTGAAAACAGGGAACCGAAGATTGAGAACGGCAGTAGACTGCAACGAAGTCGAAACAAGCTGACTCGTTCAGTAATGGTGAAGGCAAAGGAAAAACGGTACAATTAAGAACCGAAGTTAATCGAACGACTAGAAGCGGAAACAGCCGAAGTGGACACAGCAGTGAGAAACATCACGTAGCCGGTGTTGCTAGGCGGCTTGTCCGAGTCCGATGGAAGGGAAAAATTTAGAGGGAGGGGATCGCCGGTATAAAAGTCGCGTCATTGGTGCCGGCGAATCAGTTGTTGAACTAAAGGAAAGGGTTTTATTCGTGTTTTTTGTTTTTTCGCTAAAGCGTCTGTTCGAGTGAAAGTTGCACACGTAAAATAACATCGATTCTTTCTATTCGGGTGTTCGAAAAATAGTGATTCACCGCTACTAGGATTCGTGAAAATTGTCGGAAAATTGATGTATGTACGTACGTATTTCGGAGCACTGGATAGAAACGCGAACTCGTAACACTGTGGTCTTGCGTTTATTCGAGAAAGGTCGTTTGAACGTGTGTTGATCGTCTTTGGAACATGGAGGTTTTACCATGTCCCGTCAACGTGAATTTCAGCAATACCAGAGGTAAATTTTTTTATTAATTCGGCTTTTTTATAATACACGATAGCTTAATCAGCATTTATGCACGGTGTGCGGGTTCTTCGGTAATAGTTTCTAAATTCTTCCCGTAGTCGTAACCGCGAACTCGTTCGTTTCAGCTGATTCGTAAAATCAGCTGATTTTATACGGAAATAGAGTAACGATTTTGGTTAGGTTCCACGATATTTTCAGAAAAATGTTGCTTTCCTAACGGTTTCATTCCGAAATACTCGATAATGATTTATATATATATATACATATATATATATATATATATATATATATATATATATATATACATATTCATACATGGATAGTACATAGATAGTAAAGCTGCAGCGATTCTGTTCTTTTCACTGGTACCTCGTACACGATATAACCCATATATGCTTAGGATAGATAAGTACGTGAAATGCATACGTATATTTATATACGTACCTACCGCGAGGTGCAGTGTGACAGTAGAGGGTGGGGGGATATCACCTATAAGTATAGGTATTCGATGTACGTGCAGTAGGTAGGAAATAGATACGGTTACGAATCTCTTAATTTTTTAACGAATCGCGAGTATTTTGGTTGCAATCAATCCTAAACAATAGATTGTTTATTGACTTAGCTGAGACTGTGACCGATGAAGTGGATGGAGCATGTCAAGCTTTAGCAAAACGACTCGAAGTCGAACTAAGACGAGCAAAACATGCCCAGCTGGCGTGCGGAGAAGTTCTCCTACCTGCCGATCTCTTGCCTAGAATAGCCAGAGAAGTTCTCAGTATGGCAGAAAATGAACCCTGTGGTCTTAGGTAAATTAACCTTAGCAAATTCGTCGGTTTTTCTTCCTTGAAAACTGTCTTCCCGACAGCTTCCTCTACGGCTGTTATTAATTGTTGATTAATTCGTTGCAGAGGTTGTACCTTGTTTATTAGCTTCGAGACGGACAGCGTGTGTCGAAAATTATCAAAAATACAATGTGATCCTAATGCCGTATCTACCTTCGAACTATACTTGACCTTGAAACAGGATCACACATCTTGGCACATTCTGTTGCCTCAATTTTTGAAGTAAGTATAATCGCACGACGCAATGGCAACATCGACAAAAAAAGAACGATAAAAGCAAAACAAAAGGCTTTTTTTTCATGATTTTAATCTGTCTTCTAATTTCTCTTTTTAGAAACCTTACCAAAGGCGGCACCGTCATGATCAGTAGGGATTTCACATTGGAGAAGAAAAAATTGTACCGATCGTATCAACAAATGCAGTGAAAAATTTGATCGAGTGGACATCCGCCTCGTTCGATTTCTGTCGGAAAAATACGATGGTTCCGAAATCAGAAAACTTTTTCAATCTCTGTGCGAAACGAGCACGACCTAAATTATTTTGATTAATTCGTTCTATGTTTGAATATCGTGCATTGTGTAGTTGCTTGGTTTTACCTAACACCTGCCAAATATTGCGATCTCATCAAAATTACGTCGAATTCAAAAAATGAGTGTCATGGAGGGGAGAGCGAGAGAGAGAGAGAGAGACAGACTTTGAAAAACCCTAAAACTGGAACAGCAGGATATATCGAATGCACATCGAACTGCCAGGAAATTGTACCATCGTACTGCTGCGTACCTGTTGACAACGTGGACGCGTTTAGAGAAATAATACTTTTCTCATTGCGAGGAGTCTGAAAGATGATCGTGCAATTTGGCTGTGGTTTTAGCCGTTAACGTCGCAATCTGTTTAATGAGACAAGATCTACGCGTTCAACTATTGTGATAACAATACGAAATACGATAACAAATTTAAGAATAGGATTTCGGGTGGCAACTGTTTCTTTGCACGATTTCATAGTTTGGGAAGATTTCGATCATTGTCCGTAGTTTTAAAGCAACCCAAGACTAACGAAACTGTAATAGAAACGTTCGAGGAAATCGCGTAAAGAGACCTGTTCCGAGTAAATAGGGAAGAAAGTGCGTACTGCTCGATTGCTTCGTTCAACGAAAATGCAACCCGCAATTAATATTTATTACGATACTAAGCGCGTACAGTATTCGCGACTATGTTATATTATTCGATAGTTTTTATCCCTTAAACATGATTATCGGACATTTGACTTTACATCCGTCCGATGTGAGTTTCTACGATTCAACCCAATAGATGTATTTTGCGTACCGCGTCATTTGTTTTCCGTCGTTTCGATGTCTCGATGCACGAGTTTCTTAAAGGACTTCGTTTACTATTACGGCAACACATTACGGAAGTATATTTCAAAAAGAAACACGTTACAACTTCGAGCGAAAGCATTCCTTGCGAAAGTTTGAAATTAATGTTAACAGTGGTCTTCCACAAATATATATATATATAATACGCGCGCATGAGCTAAAATCCATTAATATTAACGTACAAATTCTATGTATGTACATCAATTTTGTGCGAGAGTGCGTGTGTGTATTTGTGCGAGTGTATGCGCGCGTCGGATGCGTATAAATATATATATGTGTGTGTAGGTATACATATATATGAATTTATAAGACTGATCAGCGTTAGACGATACAAGTTTCGGAATAAGTTTTTGTAGTACAAGAATTTGTGTGTGCGTTTATCTTTGGAATAAACAAAAAAAAAGTCAAAAAGGTGCTGAAAATTGAAGAATCGGTTTGCAAGCCCCGCGCGGTTCGACTCGAATCGAGTCGTCGAGAAAAAGAACATCTTCTCGTTTAATTCGGAGATAAACAAAGAAGGCAACGATAAGGAAAATAACGACGTATGCGTGTGATGTTCATTTGTATTGTTATTATCGATTACGTAGAAAACAGAGTATAAAATGCTGTTACGTATATTTTGTACTTTAGTAAAAAGAAAATTAGAAATAACAAAGAGAGAGACTAGTAACATAACACGATAGAATGTTTAATTTTTATATACGTTATTATTGTTAGTTATCGCTTGCTTAAAAACACGGCAGAAAAATGGCCAAGAAAAACTGCAAGTAGCGGAAATTTTATTGTATTCGTCTTTTCTGTCTAAAGAGATTTTTGTCGATGTGCTACCTCGGACCTATTCAAACTGCTGTCTTTGCGTATAACATATACATCTTCATTGAGATTTTTATCATTGTAAGGAGTTTGCGTTTTTCTTCGACTCTTTACCGCCTATATGTGATGTTGACTTTAATTTGTGATTTTACTATTAAATTCAAGACAGGAAAATAAAGTTTCAAATGTTTTACTATACACGTACATCGAGAGCATTGTATTTTCAAAAATATTTTTGAAAAGGAACAAAAACGGAGCCAAACAGAAGGGAAGACATTACACAGTGGATGTCTCCTATATTTATTCCATTCGATTCATTTCCACTCGTTTGAATCCAATTTAACCAAAATCAGTGAAAACATACAGCACAGCTTATCGGTTATTTCTAATTGGTCGCGTACAATTTTTACGTTCGATTTAGTATATATAATCTTGAATGTGCTCCGAGAACTATTCGATAAACGTACATAAATGTCTCTACATATATTGATAGTAGAGAGGGTACTTTACTGTACTATACTATATTATACTATACCATACTATACTATACTATACTAGCCTACACTACACTACACTACATACTACATACTACATACTACATACTACATTCTATTCTATACATACATTACATATATACACACCTTGGTTATCTGTAAGAGTTCAAGCGATCCACCTTCCCTTGCTCCTTTTCTTTATTCTTGATGCATCGTAATTAAATTGTTCGACTTGGTTCCTATGTGCTTGTTTGCTTGGCTCTTTTAGAGATTCGAAATGCAAAGGAACAATTTTTGTGCTCGTCGCCGAAGATGCGAGACCAAGACAAGAATTGTCATTGCTGTGGCGGAAAGTTTGGGGCTTTGAAATAAAAATATTTGACCACCTTTCGAATATCCAGCAATCGATGGGGGGTGGTTGTGGTTGGATATCAACCACGATTGGACACAATTTTTCCGAAATCGAGATCGACAGGATGTCATTTATTTTTGGATAAAGTTCCAGCCACTATGGAACGAAACGAAAAGGTTAATAGTATCGCAGCTCGTTTTCAGGGGTCGACGAATAGGTTTTTGTTTAATTATTTCATCCGGGTATCGATACTTGCGTTAAATACACGTAGCCATATCGTGCGAAGGCACCTATTTATGAACTCGAACGACTTTCTTTTCAAATAGTGTTCGCAGATTTCGTTCGCAGCAGCATCGATGATTTCGTTACAAATTGAAACGATCAGGTGTTCTATCTGTTCTTTCCGCGCAAATTCCTGCCATTTCAGCTCCGGAAATTGATCAGGAACACACCGAGTAATCGCATTTGCTTCAAACATTTTATAACTCATATTATCGTTTTGGCTTGAATTGCTTGCTTGTTTCTCCAAGAGAAACGATATAGAACAAACTTCGTTCAAAGCTTTAGAGTTCTAGTGTTCGCGACAAGGTTCGCATACCACTTTGCAGCATTTTTGTTGATATCTTGATACGTTTCGACGTTTATTGCATAGCACTTCTCTGTATTTTATTCATTCACTCGTTCAGTTATTGTCATAAAATGTTCCTTTCTTTGCGTACGCTTTACAATGGCGGGCGCGGAACACATCGATTAAACTAGTTCGTTGGTATATGAAACATTTGTACATAGTTTTATAATATAAATCTCTAGACGCGTTGTTACGCCAAGACGAATAAATACCATGCGATCAATTTGTCAAGTGGATTGGTTTAACAATAGATCACGTTACAATACATTCTACCCTCTCTACTCGATGCTCGAAAACTAGAAAAAAATAACAAAATCCAAGAGATCTATATATAGGATATATGTATAGGTGCACGCTACATTCGCATTTAGTATCTGATGCTCGGAAAATACGTGTAACGTAGTGCAGCATTACGTCTCGAATGCGATTCGCAAAAAAACTAATCTTTCGATGAACGATTCTCCTTCTTCGCATAATCGTGCAAATCGATCAAAACCAAGGAGTCTCGTATAACATTAAAAAGATTTCGGAATCTTGCAAGACAAAAAACAGTAAAACGAAACGTAACAAGGACCATAAATGACGGTAGATAAATAAATTTCGACAAAACTAATCACGATAAATACACGGTGGTAATGCAAACAAATTGCATAAAAAAACAAACAAACGAACGAACGAATTATCGATTGGCCAAATGATCGTTGCAATTCCAGTCGAAAGAATTTCAACGAGTTTTGAACGCGAAACGAGATCTCGCAGATCAACAAACGTGTCCACGCTTTCCGAAGTTTTAAATAATACTGATCTCGTTTTAACTGGTTCTCGCGCAGACTTAACCATCTCTCTCTCTCTCTCTCTCTCTCTCTCTCTCTCTCTCTNGCAAAGGAACAATTTTTGTGCTCGTCGCCGAAGATGCGAGACCAAGACAAGAATTGTCATTGCTGTGGCGGAAAGTTTGGGGCTTTGAAATAAAAATATTTGACCACCTTTCGAATATCCAGCAATCGATGGGGGGTGGTTGTGGTTGGATATCAACCACGATTGGACACAATTTTTCCGAAATCGAGATCGACAGGATGTCATTTATTTTTGGATAAAGTTCCAGCCACTATGGAACGAAACGAAAAGGTTAATAGTATCGCAGCTCGTTTTCAGGGGTCGACGAATAGGTTTTTGTTTAATTATTTCATCCGGGTATCGATACTTGCGTTAAATACACGTAGCCATATCGTGCGAAGGCACCTATTTATGAACTCGAACGACTTTCTTTTCAAATAGTGTTCGCAGATTTCGTTCGCAGCAGCATCGATGATTTCGTTACAAATTGAAACGATCAGGTGTTCTATCTGTTCTTTCCGCGCAAATTCCTGCCATTTCAGCTCCGGAAATTGATCAGGAACACACCGAGTAATCGCATTTGCTTCAAACATTTTATAACTCATATTATCGTTTTGGCTTGAATTGCTTGCTTGTTTCTCCAAGAGAAACGATATAGAACAAACTTCGTTCAAAGCTTTAGAGTTCTAGTGTTCGCGACAAGGTTCGCATACCACTTTGCAGCATTTTTGTTGATATCTTGATACGTTTCGACGTTTATTGCATAGCACTTCTCTGTATTTTATTCATTCACTCGTTCAGTTATTGTCATAAAATGTTCCTTTCTTTGCGTACGCTTTACAATGGCGGGCGCGGAACACATCGATTAAACTAGTTCGTTGGTATATGAAACATTTGTACATAGTTTTATAATATAAATCTCTAGACGCGTTGTTACGCCAAGACGAATAAATACCATGCGATCAATTTGTCAAGTGGATTGGTTTAACAATAGATCACGTTACAATACATTCTACCCTCTCTACTCGATGCTCGAAAACTAGAAAAAAATAACAAAATCCAAGAGATCTATATATAGGATATATGTATAGGTGCACGCTACATTCGCATTTAGTATCTGATGCTCGGAAAATACGTGTAACGTAGTGCAGCATTACGTCTCGAATGCGATTCGCAAAAAAACTAATCTTTCGATGAACGATTCTCCTTCTTCGCATAATCGTGCAAATCGATCAAAACCAAGGAGTCTCGTATAACATTAAAAAGATTTCGGAATCTTGCAAGACAAAAAACAGTAAAACGAAACGTAACAAGGACCATAAATGACGGTAGATAAATAAATTTCNAGTCTCGTATAACATTAAAAAGATTTCGGAATCTTGCAAGACAAAAAACAGTAAAACGAAACGTAACAAGGACCATAAATGACGGTAGATAAATAAATTTCGACAAAACTAATCACGATAAATACACGGTGGTAATGCAAACAAATTGCATAAAAAAACAAACAAACGAACGAACGAATTATCGATTGGCCAAATGATCGTTGCAATTCCAGTCGAAAGAATTTCAACGAGTTTTGAACGCGAAACGAGATCTCGCAGATCAACAAACGTGTCCACGCTTTCCGAAGTTTTAAATAATACTGATCTCGTTTTAACTGGTTCTCGCGCAGACTTAACCATCTCTCTCTCTCTCTCTCTCTCTCTCTCTCTCTTTCTCGCGCGCGCACACGCACGAGCACATAGTCGCAGGACTAATAGGGAATGACAGAAAAAAAATAGATCGTTCGAGTGAAAAATAATTGAGAGCTAGTTCAAGCCATAACGCTTGTTATAACGCCACCGGATACAGGAAGCCCGGTCGAGCCCATCAGTGCCAGATCTATCTCCCTCGCGGCTTGCCTGCCTTCTGTGATCGCCCAAACGACCAAAGACTGTCCACGTCGGCAATCTGGACGAACCAATATAATTGTTTTCACGTTCTATTACACCAGAATTAAAACTACCACTAGAAGACACTTACCACCAGCCGCGTATGTTCCGTTCAAACTTGTTTGGTATTCACCGGGTGTAGTTTTATAATTGCCTCTCTCATCCATAGAGGTATCTAATTCGGTTGCAATGTACGTTTCAGGACCCAAAAATCCCATCGCGAGTAATACCAAGTCGCATTTGTATACCTAGAAATAAGGCAAATTAAAGAACAGGATAAAAGTTTAAAATATATACATATATTCGACACCATTCTTACCTTCTCCGTTCCAGGAACTTGTTCCATCTTCCAGCGGCCGTTTTCCATCGTCCATGAAACCGTGGTCGTTTTGATTCCACTCACATGACCCTGCCCATCATCTAGGAATTCCTATATCGAAACATGCGGAACGTAACATGGAACTAACAGTATCGGTGACTCATTTTTGTACTTTACTTACTTTAGTTAAAATGCTAAACTGACGCGGATCTCGTCCAAACTTGAGAGACACCTCTTCGTGACCGTAGTCCACTTTGAATACACGTGGAAATTGAGGCCAGGGATTATCTGCAGCCCTCTTGGTCGGAGGTTCCGGTAAAATCTCAAACGTCGTGATCGTGTTGGCACACTTCCGGGCGAGAATCGATTTGTATAAGAACCAGTCAAGAGATGGAAGAAGAGGACGACGAATGATAAAACGCGATCGTATATACCTGTCGCAACGATGTGGCTATGCAGTCGCATCCAGTGTCACCACCACCTATTATGATAACGTCCTTGTCCGTAGCCATCAAACGCATGTCGGGAGGAGTAAACTTATCTATTTGTCTTCTTTGCGAATGCTCCAGGAAGTTGACAGCGAAGTGAATACCGTCGAGTTGTCGACCAGGTATATCCAAGTCTCTCGGTCGGGTCGCCCCAGTGCAAAGCAACAACGCGTCATACTGCTCGCGCAGAGTCTAGAAAAATCAGATCGCCAGAAGAATCAAATCTATTCTCGTACATGGGCAATTGAAAACGCGATATACGTAGATTCGTACGAAACAATAATTCTGAATCGTGTCGAACCTGAGCAGAGATATCTTTTCCAACATCGACGCTCGATTTGAAGACAATTCCCTCTGCACCGAGAAGGGCCACTCTTCTTTCAACGAGCAGTTTCGACAGCTTCATACTCGGTATTCCGTACCGCAGAAGACCGCCGATTCGATCGTTTCTTTCGAAAACTGTCACGGAATGTCCCGCCTTGTTCAACTGTTGAGCCGCAGCCAAGCCCGCCGGTCCCGAACCGATTACGGCTACTCGCCGACCGGTTCTCGTTTTAGGCGGTTGCGGCACGATCCAACCCTGCTCGAACGCGTGATCAATGATGGCGCACTCGATATTTTTGATAGTGACAGCTGGTTCGGATATCCCCAAGACACAAGCACCCTCGCATGGAGCGGGACAAACTCTCCCTGTGAATTCTAACAGCGACACATTGGCTTTAGGTTCGATCAGTTATTCGAAAGAGCAACCGGTCCCCGTGTCGTACCAACCTGGAAAGTTATTAGTTTGTAGCAATTGGTTCAAAGCTTCCTTCCAATTTGACTGAAAAACGAGATCGTTCCACTTCGGAATAATGTTTCCTAGTGGGCAGCCGTGACTGCTTTGACAGAACGGCACGCCGCATTCCATACATCTTGCAGCTTGGGTACGCAAGCCTTTGCGAACACCTTGGAAATTATAGATTTCGTCCCAATCGTTTAGACGATCCTTGGCAGGCCGATACACGCTCGTTTGTCTCCTGTACTTCATAAATCCTCTAAAAGCGATATTACATGAATCGAAGCTCGAGAAGTAGAAGTAGAAGTAGAAGTAAAAATAGGAACAAAGATGTGGATACGGTGCAATTTTGGAGATACTTTACCATCTCGTTCAATTCCTACCTTATTTTGTCTAATTTTCGCTGTTCCATGTCAACATCCACGATAGCATCCTCGATATCTTTCAATTGATTCAACGGAGTTCGAGTATTTCCATTCAAGATTGGTTGCGCAAGTTTGGTTTCCTCGAGTTGTTTCAGAGCACGCTGATACTCGTACGGAAATACTTTGACAAATCGTGTTGTCGGTTCAGGCCACAGCATTAGCAAATCCTTCGCGATCAAGGAATCAGTCTTTTCGACAAACTCTTCCAGAAGAGTTTTTACGTAAATTATATCTTCCGGGTTGACCAGCGGAAGTAATTCCACCATTTCGGGGTTGCATTTGCTAAGAAATCAATGGGAGAAATTCAGTCGAACGTGTTTCATGATACGACAAAAGACAGGTTGCGAGCGAGCATCGGTACCTCTTGAAAGAGCCGTCCACGTCCAACACGTAAGCAGTTCCGCCGGACATTCCAGCCGCGAAATTTCGCCCGGTTAAGCCCAAAATGATCGCGCACCCGCCGGTCATGTATTCGCAGCCATGATCTCCCACACCTTCTACCACAACCGTCGCTCCGCTGTTGCGAACGCTGAATCTTTCTGCAGCGATACCCCGGAAGTAAGCTTTACCGGATGTTGCGCCGTAAAGACAAACATTGCCGACGATCACGTTCGCATCGGAATCGAAAGTAGATTCCTTCGGCGGATATATAACGATCTCTCCGCCGCATAGACCCTAAAAGTCCAACGTGAAAATGTCAAAACAACAGGTGTCTAATTACCGTGTATGTACTCACTTTTCCAACGTAGTCGTTCGCATCGCCCTCGAGAGTGACGTGAACACCTTTAGTCATGAAAGCGCAAAAGCTCTGTCCAGCAGAACCCTTCATTCGTATGTTGATACTACCCTCGGGAAGACCGTCTTCGCCGTACAATCTACGAGAAAAACGTTACATTCGATGGTACCAAAATCACTCGGTTATGTTGTTCGGGTTAACACGATGGAACGATCGATACGGAGAACGGAGACTTACTTTGAAATATGATAGCTTAAAGTCGACACGAATGCTCGACACTCGTTATTGATATCTAATTGAATGTCGACCGAATTCCGTTTCCCATCTAGCACATCCCTTGCCATCTCGATCACACGATTGTCTAGACGATTTTCCAGTTGGAAGTCCTGTGTCATCGATCCACCTTTAATGTTCACTCCTGGTCGGAGTTCCAGCGCACTGCGCAAAATATTATCGAGGTTTAGCATTCTAGCTTTCTCGATGGACACGTTTTTTCGAACCCTCAACAGATCGGTACGTCCAATCAGATCTTGAAACTTACGGATTCCCAGCGCAGCCATGTACGAGCGTACCTGATCGAACAGACAACAGATTATCTCTAGCATCATCTGGTCAGCAGGGAAATCTGAATTCGATTCGCCACGTACCTCGTCCGCTAACGCGAAGAAAAAGTTGATAACATGTTCCGGTTTCCCTTCGAATTTCTTTCGCAGCGCTGGATCCTGCGTCGCGATGCCTACAGGGCACGTGTTCAAGTGACATTTCCTCATCATCGTGCAGCCCAAAGAGATCAGCGGCGCGGTGCTGAATCCAAATTCGTCCGCGCCCAATATAGCCGCTACCATGATGTCGAATCCCGTGCGCAATTGTCCGTCTGCCTGAACCACGACTCGCGAACGAAGGTTGTTCAAGGTTAGTACCTGATGCGTTTCCGCGATTCCCAACTCCCACGGTAAACCCGCGGATTTGATCCCGGTCCAGCTACTGGCACCGGTTCCACCATCGTGACCAGATATTACGATATGTTCCGCTTTTCCCTGTTTCGAGATGTTTCAAGCGAATTAGTTAGAAACTAATCGAGGAACGATTACGAGAGGTACTTTACGGTATCGTTGTTACCTTGGCCACACCTGCCGCGACTACACCCACTCCAACTTCCGAAACGAGTTTCACAGAAATACGGGCTTTGGGGTTTGCACATTTTAAATCGTAAATAAGTTCTGCGAGGTCCTCGATCGAATAGATGTCGTGATGAGGTGGTGGTGAAATTAATCCCACGCCTGGTACCGAATGCCTCGTTGCAGCTATTTCTGCGGTAACCTGTAAGCGATCGGGGTTTAACTTTAGTATGCCATTTTTCCGATCGTAGGTACACACTCTGCTGTCGGCCTTCACCTTGTAACCAGGCAATTCACCACCTTCGCCCGGTTTTGCTCCTTGCGCCATTTTAATTTGGAGATCGTCAGCGTTCGCCAAATAGCTCGAGGTTACTCCGAACCGGCCACTGGCAACTTGCTTGATAGCAGATCGTTTATTAAATTCTGGATCTTGATAGAGATATCTGCAGCAAGAGAATGTCTTGGATCGCTTTAGAACCCTCGCGAACGCCTCGCCTCGACCTTGCATGGTCACGCTCGTGTTTCCTTACCTATCCGCGTTCTCGCCTCCTTCGCCGGTATTCGATTTGCCTCCGATACGATTCATTGCGATCGCTAAAGTCGAATGTGCTTCCATTGAAATACTGCCAAAGCTCATGGCACCGGTTGCAAAACGTTTTACAATTTCGGAAGCAGGTTCGACTTGATCGACGGGTATAGAATTGTCCGGGGTTTCGATAAATTCCAACTGTCCTCGCAATGTACAAGCCCTTACCATCTCCATTGTCGTCTTCCGGTATTTTTCATACGCATTTTGGTTTTTCGAAGTAACGTAATCCTAGAAACCCAACTCGTGAAAGAAAGGAGAAACGAAGAATGCGATTCTTTTCAAAGATAAAATTAACACGTCGCGATCACGGTTGCGATCCCGGAAAATCGCAGAAAACGATCGAGTCGACGTACTTGTAGATTGGCGACACTGTCGGGATCGTTTATGTGTTTCTCTCCACCGGCACGCCAATGATAAATTCCTGGATTCCGAATAACGAGCATATCCATTCGTTTGTCCAAGTAGGTCATCTGATGTCTCTCGTACGCCTCCCTCGCCAAAATCTCGAACGTGACACCACCGATGCGCGACTGTGTGCCCTGTAAAATCAAAGCTGGATACAAATACGACACGGCGTAGATTCGGGTCGGAGAATTTTTACGTTCGGGACGACGCGAGATCGCGTCAAGGGTTACGTCATCGAAAACTTTATAATCATAGATCGTTCATTAATTGGATCCAGTTTCTAATCATTCGTACCTCGATTGCGTTGGATTAAAAAATATTTCAATCGGTGAAATCCGAACGAGATGCGATCGAAGCAATTAACGTAATCAACGTACCTTGAAACATTTGTCGATCACTTCGTTCGACAAACCGACCGCTTCGAAAATTTGTGCTCCTTTGTACGATTGCAACGTGGAGATTCCCATTTTCGCCATAACCTTCGCAATACCCCTTTCCATCGCTTCCGCGTAATTCTACGACATTTGAAAAATTACATTTGCAACATCTCCGATAACGTGCTGCATGACAACGCAAAAATGCGAACTTTAAGTTTGGAACTAACCGCGCATAATGCATTGTCGGTCAACGACGAATCGAGTACGCCGTCCGCGCGAAGATTTCTCGCCATCTCGAACACGAGGTACGGACAAATCGCGTCCGCTCCATAACCGAGTAGCAAACAAATCTGATGTACCTCCCTGGCCTCGGCGGTTTCAACGACAAGACCGACCTTCATACGTTGCCTTTCTTCGATTAAATTGTGATGCACCGCACCGAGAGTCAGTAGACTGCTCACAGGTACTCTGAGAACGTATCATGAAATATTAAACACCGTACAGTACAGAAACGAGACGCGCTCGTCGATTTTAGCTCACCTATCCGGACCTCCGCGACGATCCGAAAGAATTAGAAACTGATAGCCGTCCCTTGCGGCCTGATTCGCTTCGCGGTTAACGCGTTCCAGCGTAGCCAACAAACCGGACGGACCGTTCTCCACGGGATAGGTCGTATCGATAGTTTTGCTCTTCCAATTGCGATACTTTGTTCGTTTGATCACGTCCAAATCTTCCAACGATAATATGGGTTGTGGTAAAAATAATCGATGAACTTGCAATTCGTTTGGCTCCAAGATATTACTCTCTGGTCCGATCGGGCAAAGCATAGACATCACGATCTTTTCTCGAAACGGGTCGATCGGAGGATTCGTAACCTGTTGACAATATTATGGAGGACGTATTGCAGACTCGAGAGATTCGGAGAAACGGGAAACGGGAAACGGGAAACGGGAAACGCGAGCAAAGGCAAATCACACACCTGCGCAAACAGCTGTTTAAAGTACTCGTAGATCAGTGGCTGAAACTGGGAAAGACAAGCGAGGGGCGCATCGTTTCCCATCGAGCCTAACGCTTCTTTCCTAAACGATAACGAGAAGAACGTTAAACAAAGGTTAAAGGATATAACATGCAATCGTCTTCCGACCGATGCCAACAGAAAATAAAGAACGTACTTTGACTGCATCATCGGTAGCAGCAACATGTTTATAGTCTCGAGCGTGTATCCATAGAGAGAAAGCCTCTTATCGCCTCCCCAAACTCGATTCACGGCAGATATCGGATTCGTATCGGCCATCGTGTTTATTTCCTGTGTCCAAGAAGGTGGTGCGACCCTGTTCTGTGCATCCACGTCCGCTGCGCGCAATTCTTCCATCGTGATCTACGAAAATTATAAATACGAAATATCGATCGAACAAAAATACTCGTGTTCGTAGTAATGCCGTTCAGAGGAGACTGCGTGTACGCGAAACGTTGCTGTTCATTCGCGACACGAGTACGAACATAAACATGATAAAGAGTACAAGCACGATCGGGAACATGAAACTCACCATCTGTGTGCCGTAACGGCACGAGCACATCATTCGTGCAACAAGGTTTGCAAAAACAGATAGAAACGAATTCGTTTAGTATTAGTGTGGTTGTACGATTAAATAGTCGGACAGTCGGGTAGTTGAGAGAACAGTAGAATAACCAACCGGCAGAATAGAAACAGAATGATTCAACGAAAAGCGATTAAAGAGAAGAGAAGAAATGGAAAGGAAAGAAAAGACAAGAAAAGAAAAGAAAAGAAAAGAAAAGAAAAGATGAGAGTACCTGGTCCTTTAACCAGTCGGAATGAGGTCTGCTTCTAGCAATCTGCAACTTTAGCTCAACATCTTGTATAATCCTCTTCTCGAGAGTGTCAACGAGCAGCATTCTTCCGGGCTTCAAACGGCTCTGCAAATAAAACGAGACGCAAATAATTATCGTTGAACAGCATGTACAACCATTCAACGGTCACACGACGGCACTCGATGACGATCCTACGAAGGACTATACAAACCTACGACCTAAATGAAAAATTATACATCACACATGACATGTTTAAAAATAAATAAAACACAACATGATCCTCTAACTGCGGAAACATTGAAGCGATGCGTAGAACAAATTATGAGCGACAAGGGCTGTTTTTACCGAGAGACACGTCTCTCCTATAAAATTGAATCGACGACCAGGTGAGAAAGGTGTATTATAGAAACGTGTGCCCGATTATCAATTCGAGCAAAACCTGTTCTTGCGGATATACAAGTTGGTCGTGGGCATGCATTTAGGGAGAGAAACCGGAATGGGTTCGGAAGGGTGGGACGAAGAACGAATAATGAAGAGTGAGAGTATAAAGAATGTCAGAGACGATGAACGTGGAAAGGAAGATCTTCGATAGTTTCCTGTATCGGTTAGTTTAAACAACAGAAACGAGCCCCCTGCCTTTTGCAACAATAGGTTCTGAACTCGATTGAAATTCGATCGAGATCCAAATTCGATTCGTATCCGGGAGTTAAGAAACGTTTCCTCGTTGCGCACAGTCTTCCTAGTTAGTCCTCCTAGAGCTGAAATGTTGTATGTCGTATAGAAAAGAAAGGAAGCATATCGAAGCGCACAGATGGAATCGTCCGCTAAAAGTCAATTCGACTAGAAAACTTTGATCCGGTAGGTGGGCCTGTACGGTGATGTGTCTACTTCCTCGTTTACCTTCAGGATTACATTGCTGGGCGGAGTATCATAGACGCCCACTTCGGACGCCATCACCATCATGTTATCCTTAGTGACGTAGAAGCGCGACGGGCGCAGGCCGTTTCTGCCAAACAAAAATTCAAAAAAGTCTTTTGTATTACCACCTCAGTGTCGCGCGTTATTATCAACTGATTGTGAGACTATATTCTTGTTCGCTTTGTTTTCTCGCATTGTCTTCCTGTTAGCGCTCGTTTACGTATGCGTGTTTACGCGTACGCATGTGCATGTATATGTATACATATACACACATGTACACGTACACACATATATACACATATACATACCACTAACATTTATATATACGAGTATATATCGCACACATCCGCACACATACGTACATACGCACACGTACACACGTACATCCATACACACACGCGCGCGCGTATATGTATCGTATGTATGTATATATTGTATATATATACGTACAAAACACCTGGCAGTTTCCTTTCGTCCTTCTCCTTCGATCATGGTTCACGCTTTCACGCTCACAGATTCTCACATTCTCGTTCGTGCACTCAATCTCACACCGTCGCTCTCCTCGTCGCGTGTCACGCCTAGTCGTACACATACAATCCCTGCTTACCAGTCAACTTTCGAACAAGAACGAATGTGTCCGCCCAATTAATTGCGGTTTCCATTTTATGATTCTACAGAGAAAACGAAGCGGAGGAAAAGATACTTTGAACGAAGTTTTAAAGATTGGGCAAAATTCGAACTCGAGGAACGGAACCGGTTCGCGCGTGGTCGAGGAGAGCGAAGAGAACGGGCAGAAAGCACATGGTGGTTTCGGTCGGGCAAGACGAAAGAAAAACGTCGGTTCTACCTGTCGAGAATAGCGCCAACGTAACGGCCATCGGTAAAGGTCAAAAGAGCCGGACCATCCCAAGGTTCCATCGCGCAAGCCGCCCAGTGATAAAAGTTCCGCTTCTCGGTTGCCATCGTCAGGTCGTTCTGCCAAGCTTCCGGGACCATTGTCATCACAGCCTAAACGTTCCACGTGACATTGTTAAACTCGAACAGTGGCACGCGTAATACACGTGTGCAACAACGGCGTAAACTTAGTTGTATTCGTTACCTCTGGCAAAGATCGTTGTCCAGCCATCACTAAGAATTCGAGAACGCAATCGGCAGCTCCGGAATCGGACAAATTCGGTTCCACCACGGGATACAGTTGCTTCAATTGTTCACCGTACAGCTTGCTGCTCATTACACCTTCTCGGGCTTTCATAAAGTTTACGTTTCCCCTTAAAGTATTGATCTCTCCGTTGTGCGCCAACAGTCTGTAACATGTACACATTCGATGGTTCGAAGAAAGTTCGTGACAAAACGAACAGTGATAACGAAACTGTACTTACCGAAGCGGATGCGCCCTTTCCCAACTTGGAAACGTGTTGGTGGAAAATCTCGTATGAACCAATGCCAAATACGTCTCAAATTTTGGGGACTTGGTCGGTATGCGAAAACAAAGGTATCGACAAGTAAATAAACGAATTGCGCGCGATAGGTACCGATGTGGACAACGTTGACGCAACGTTGCATTCATCCGTATCGACTACACGTACGATATTCACCTTCAAATCCAAAAAGTAAAGCCACAGCTGATCCGCCGTCAGTTGGCCTTTGTACACGATAATTCGCAAGGAGAGCGAACATATGTAGTATCTAATTCCCGGTCGTGGTATAGTGTGGGACGATCTTTTTCTTAATACGAAAACCTATGAATTCGAGGCAACGGATCAAGCTAGTCGAGCAATTTCTCGACAATTTCTTGGTAAAACCGACGACTATATCGTATGTATACCTGACGTTCGAGAGTGGCATCGTCTTGATCACCGGTAACGAACACTTGACGCATATAAGGCTCGCATTTCTGCGCCACTCGACCGATCTTTGTATCGTCGGTTGGAACATCGTGCCAACAAATTACCTGCGAAACGAAAGTACGATACAGAGGGGCGAAGCGATACAAACAGAAAGAACAAAAACGGAAAATAAGATTTTAATCGAAATATTTTCGTACTCTGAGGTTGCATTCCTCGGCCAACTGTTCGAACAGCGTTTCCGTCTGTTCGTGCGAGTTCTTATCCAGAAACAATATTCCAGTGGCATAGCGACCAAACGGCGGCAGCTCGATATTTTGTTCTTTTCTGGAGGAAAAAAGAAAAAAACAGACGGTTAGATGCAGCACTTTCTTTTATACTTATGTATACGTTATAACAAAGGAAACGTATGAACCGCGAAAAACGGATCGAGGTCGTCGATAGACGCCCGAATCTTAAGTTCGCTCGCGGAACATTCCCGTGGGCAATTCGTCTACCAGCATGTTATCGTCTAAAGTTACATTCGCTTCCTGTTATATGTTGTATACATACGGATTCGCGTGTCAATTGCAAATCGTTAACGATCATCGGAGATCGATACGCTGATAAAATCGAAAAGTATTCCGATCGATCGAACGCGAATCACGCCGGCGATACGTGCAAGAAAACTTGACCCCGATCAGAAATTAGATCGTGTACGTTGACGCGAAGACCGATCGAAAAAGAGGGAAGGGAAGAAGAGGACACACAGCCGGGTACGTTCGAAAAAATAAGAATCTAAAAAGAAAAGAGAAAAGCGCGATTACGCTGCGAAAGAGTTGTGTAGTCGAATGTCGCGTCACGAGTGCTGTTGTTCCGTAATAATAGATCAATTTACTGAGAACGATAAGAAGGTAAACACGCAATAATTGCTGCGACATAGACACGCGACACACAGTACGATAGATAACCTAGAAATTACGATATCGTGAACTCGCGATAGCGACGGAGTTGACGGAATCATCGCGCGTCACGAACGATGCGTCGGAAGGCTCTGATAGACGAGTAGAAAGTAAAAAGTAACCGTCGCACTATGAAATCTAGCGATCGCTTACCGAACTTGCTCGGCATAATAGTCGTGCGGAATTGCGCATAATAGACCGGCTCCGTCTCCGGTGTCGTTATCACAGGCGCAGGCACCGCGATGGTTCATGCGTGCCGATAGAATCTCTGCGTCGCGAACGATCTGCCAAGCGATTACGAGACCAAAGTTTTCAACGATTAGATTTTCTTGCGAACAAGCTTCTGATCGAAAATCGGAACCACGGATCCCATCCTACCTACCTTGTGCGACCTTTTTCCATCTATCGCCACGATGAATCCAACGCCGCAAGCATCTTTCTCGAGGGACGGGTCGTACAAAGCCTGTTTCGGAGGGTATGTCCAACTCTGAACTCCATTCATATTTTTAATCTGTAACAAACGTTGAAGCGGCAAGGGTACACCTCGTTACGGTTGACGCGGAAAAGCATCGGTTCGTACAATATCGTACCGTCGCGCACCACAACCGTACACATACTCCTCGAGCGAGCGATCCTACGATAGTGCGCCGCAGTTTGAACGAGATCGATCGCCGCTACTAGCTGCTACAGCGTCACCGCGACCATTATCGACGCGAACGTCGATATCGATACCGATAAACCGCCGTTCGTTACGTAATCCCGTGCGCAATATTCGAACGCTTAATGCAATAGATAAACTATATCCGCCGTAGAAGAAGAGAGAAGCAGGGAGACAGCAGCAGCCGCCGCCGACAAACACATATACGCGCGCGCGCAGAGAGGCAGAGGGAGAGAGAGAGAGAGAGAGAGAGAGAGAGAGAGAGAGAGAGAGAGAGAGAAATCACAAACGATCGAACCGGGGAAATATTCCAGCTCTTAATTTCAAAGTTGATGGTTCTTCGAAACAAGAATGTTGCGCCCGAATCAACTGCGCGATCTCTCTCTCTCTCTCTCTCTCTCTCTCTCTCTTGCGTCGATATACATATGTACATAGATAGTTAGAGAAACCTGACCCGTTCGTAAGATCGATGCGGTCTTCCGTTGGTCAGCGGCTCGTTGTTTCTTCTTATCCACTTTTTGAAATACGATGATGCGTTGCGAACTCTATCCGGAAGAAGATCGATACCGCTGACAGAGAGAGGTCACTCGTTACGTCGAGTTTCGAGCGATCGGTAACCGTGTACATACAACGCCAACGCTAGCGTACTTCGATTTCCCATTCTCTCGAAGGTAACACGAGATATTCGAGCAACAAGAGCAGATTCGAGTACAACGAATCGATCGGATCGATTGACCGCTGTCAACTATGAATCGTGTCATCGCGGTTGGCTACATTCTCGTATCGTTTACAGATCCGCAGAGATTCGAAATTTAATCGAAAAATAAAAATTTAATCGCGAATCTTGTCCTTACTCTGGAATTCTTTGCAATTGTAAGAATAGCGCCTCTTACAATTTCACGCCGATGCATCGTATCATATTTACTTAAACATCTGAAATTATTCCATCGAATCCATAAAAAAAAGAAATGAAACAATCTTGCTAATGACGCTACAATTAGTCGAGTGTGCTTATTCATAATTATATATTCTTTATTTTGAAACGCGTTTGCATTCCCGTCGCTTTAACTTCGTAATTTCACTCTTCTCGTTTTCTCGACAGCATTTTATCGTCGCATCAATCGTAATACACATTTTCTACGCACTTCCCTGTTATTTCCGGTTTTCAGCTTCCCCTTATAGAATCGAATGCTGGAGCCGCGTGAACGCTTTTTATTTTCCGCCTCGAAGGTTAAGACGGCGCAAATCGATTGCGTCGTCTCGCGTCGCGTGGTGTCGTTTGGTTTATCTAGGAGAAAATAATTTGTTCTAGCGATACGTTACAAATGCGTAATTGTATCAAAAATTGCGAAAATACGCCGAGAGTATACCGATGGTATATGTAACTGGTACGCTGACGGCAGTTTGTAAAATTCCTCTGCCATATTCGAAACGTAACAGCAATTTTAACGCATAATCGATTCCCGTTGCGCAGGTTTTTCGTCTACTCGGCAACTCGACCGATAGGCTTAGCTGACAGCAATATTTGGTTCGTTGCCAAAGTCCCAACACAACCTGGAAAACACTCGGTTTCCCTTAAAATACATTTCTATTTTGGCAACGCAAAAGTCATTGATAACGACGCGTCGCGACGCGAGCCGACGTTTCAATATTCCATCTACTCGAATTCTGTACGCCGATTGTACACGACGTTTGTGCCAAACAAACGTTCTAACGTTGTTCGATCTCCCGCTCGGCTGGACGTTCGGAGTAAGAATAGCCGTCGTGCTTCTCGACACAGGAATTCTTTTCACGATGACAATGAAACGATGGTCCGCGTTCATCGATACCTTTCGTACGACTCCTCGAATACGCATGTTTGGATAATTCGCGTATATAGGAACACGGGAACGCGTTAAATCTGTGCTCTTCGACGATTTATTTCGATCACTAATACTTTATGCTCTTGTTACAAATCGTTGAGGAAATATCTACAAATAGCTTACCATTCTTGAAAACAATTATCTTCGATCGCTTACCGAATATTAATTGGAACGATAATGATCCGATATCGGATGGCGGGAATTCCTGTCGAGAGGGACAATTGATGAGATATATCCGCGGAACAGGATTCGTTCTACCCAACAAATAATTCGAAACGAAGAAACGAAAAGCTGTTGCTATCAAAATCTAGCAGATTTCTCGAATGCCGATAAACCTTAACGACTCTTCGGAGAAGGAACTACGCAACTGGATGCGCACTCGAGTGTATCGATTTTTAAACCGAAACTATATGTCTGTGACATGTATGGATTCGACCGAGAATAATCGACGAGTTTGCAGAAATAACCAATTAATAATGTACCGACGAAATTTTTGATTTTCAAAAATTCGTTATGATATCATTCGCCTCGTTGTATTTACATTTTTCATCCACACTCTTGCACAGAATTTGGAGTTATCAGGACCTTGCCGATCGTCCATCTACGACTTTCGATTAACACGATGCGACGGCACGTGGTGCTAAAAATTACCAATAGGAAGTAACGGATCCGTCGAGACTCTCTCTTTCTCTCTCTCTCTCTCTCTCGTATGTTTGTACGAGAACGCAAACGAGAAGCTGTAAATCGGTAAAACAAGCTGTAAAACGAACGAACGAACACGGTACAGTGATTTTTCACAAACGAAACAATGTTCACTGATTTTACGCTCGCTATTGGCTCATCCACACATCCGGTCGCGTGTACACGTTCTTTGCTCGTTCACAGACCTCGATATCGAAATAATTTAAACACGATTTTGTTTCCGACCAATATTTCATATATTTTTGAAAATAATATTCTTCTCGAATGAAATGTTACATCGAAACAGACCTTTCCACAAAATATCCATTAAGGATAACCACAGCATTTACGTACCAAACGACGACTGAGAAGACGAACGAGAAACAGAAATCCACTTACCTCCCGTCTTATGGTGAAACAGTAATGGTGATGTTACGCGTACGGTTGCACTTCTATTCGATTCTTTGCCAAATTTGCGCGAATGTAAACGCTTTCGTCCGTCTCGTCGAGGTCTTGGGTCTCGAATTTAAAAAAAAAAAAAAAATAGATATCTCATTAAGGGTTTTCGTGGTATTACGCTTGCTCGCCTTTTTTGCAACTATTTCTTTGCCAGGTTGCTAACTCGGACCTAACCCAGACCGGGCGTTGCGTCGACAGACGCGTTTCAACCGATCCCTTTTTTTCTCGAAGTCAAATTCTTTCGAAACTATTTGTCAAACGTATCGATACAGAGAAATCTAACTTAACGGACCAATTTCTGAAATTGCTCGGAACCGATGATACAGCACCGTGATAAGTAGAAATTTCGAGAGAATTGTAATGATGAACCGGGCACGAACCGACCGTCTCAACTGCTGCGACTCGACTAAATTTGAATCAAGCAAGAATCAAGGCAAGGCAGTCGATCCTATGCCCACCTATGCCTATCCAAAGAGTCGAATGCTAAGAAATTTTTTCGTTTCGGTAAACGCGACGATGCCGCCTCACTCGGCAAATTTCCAGTCAATGTCGGTTAAACGTTAAACCGTAATACGCATCTGCGCTCTGCTACTAGCTGCGACTTGCGACCACTTCCAGCCAACGCTCTGTATCTCGAAACGCGATTTCATTGGCTGTTACGACACGATCTGGAACGAATCACGATCATCGCAATCGCGGCATCGATCGATCGCGTCCGAAATTTCTACGTGTTCGGCTTCTACATTCTACTTTCGTTCCTTTCGTTTCTCTCGTATCTCAGCGATTAGTCTTTGGCGAATATTTCCGAAGCATCCACACGTTACTAGAGAAATGAAATTTATTCGTTCGTCACATATTTCACAGACTTTCTTATCTCATTATTGGCTACTCTACCATTACTTGTTTCTTTCTAAATCGATCGAACAAGTTGTATATTCCATTTTTTTTTTAACAAACTTTTGCTAAAACTTGGTCCATACACGTTCCAAGTATTTTACGTTTGGCGAAAAACTTCAGTTTCGTCAGCGCATCTTTTGCATTCGCTTTTAAAGTACACGCAATTGTTTCTTGTTCTCCTGTTTCTTATTCGCATTCTACATCGCTTACAATAATCAAAAAATATATGATCTTTAAACACATTATCGATAATGTATAGAATAAATTGCTATGATACTTGCGAACATGATTTACAGTTTTGCTGATTACTCGTTTCAAGTCATTGCATCGACAAATTGATTTTGCTTTAGCCAAACGTGGAGATACGCATTAGAAAAAAAACGGTGAAGGTGTATTATACGCTCGCTATACACAACAAGGAAAGTTATTTACTTTCTACGCGTACTAAACTTTCGCGCGGCGGATTTTCAAGGGTGTAAGAAACCCTTTCGATGCTCGTCCCATTGGCAAAAAACAATTTAACGAGTAACACTATCGAGAAAAACATTACAAACATTACAGCAGTTTGCACTTGTGGTTTTGCAACATTTGCATTTACCACATACCTAATATTCGAGAGAAAAAAAATTGCTCGGCCTGTTTGGTCAGTGTTCATATTTAAAAGGCACGGAATGGAATCGAATGGAATGTCGCACGACCACCGGCAGAGTCAAATGAACCGTAACTATACGAAAAGGGTTAAGGTTCAACCTTAGGATCCAAGGTTCTAGATCTAGAAACATAAACTTCGATAATGGACACGCCTCCTTTTACCTACTTCAAAGCTGTCGACGGATGTTCGACGAGTCTATTTAAGGTCGTTCTATCACGTTAAAGCTTTAGTGCCATGAGACTCGATAATGAGAACGTACGTACGCGTAACGCGCGCCAACAAATTGATAGTATCTTACTAAATACGGTATCAAATATAAATACGAAGCAACATAGCATACAACAAGAACTTTTAAAAATTAAATTAACACTATCTATATGTACATTTTTAAAATAGACTTTTTTTTATTGTATGCTGCCACAACTAGGCGGACGTGTAACTTTAAGAGCGTCGAGTTTTGGAACGGTAATCTTTCGTGGAATTTTATTGGTCAGGTGTGTGGCCTTGTCTGACGTTAGTGTAAAGTGTAAATATTGGTCCAGAAATTGGGAAGCAGAGAGGGAGGGGGGGAGTAGAGCGAAAGAGGCAGGGTGGAGGAAGGAAAAGGGAGACGCGTGTGTGTGCGTGCAAAGGAGGGAGAGAAGCGGAAGAATCTAACCGAAGAAGAAGAAGAAGAAGATAACAATAAATTGTATATGTCTAATATGGACCACTGATAAATTCAAGGATATAAACCCCTCTATTTTAAGTAATTCTATCCTTGTTTAGTCTCATTCGCATCGTTGGTCAGAATTTGTAGTTAGATACGTAACGAGCAACGCGATGAAAATCGGAAGTCATCGAAATCTTAGAGACTTCGATTTTCATGTAAAGCGAAACTACTAAAATTAAGTTTTCTGTCCTAATTTCTAGCGTTGTTGTTGACAGTAGTATGATTACCGCCGCCACTGTTATTGTTATTGTTACCATTGCTATTGCTGCCGTTGTTCAGAGTAGTAGAATTTCCTATATTATCGATTTCACGTTGAGCGCGTGAAATTTTCACTTTGTCGCGTGGGGTTCCATCTTCCCCGGTTTCCATCGCAAACATTTTCATCTTTTCCTTAAAACTCAGCTTTTCAGGTACTGGTCCAACTTGGGAATTTTGCTGTTGCTTTTGCTTCTCTGCCAATCGTCTTTGCCTCGGATCTCTGAAAAGCATCGATTCGGTGATAATCTACGATGATCGACAAGAACTTGGACAAGCACTATCGACTTCAAGCGAAAACAAAAGAACAGAGAGATCGTAATGTTACTTGTAAACTTCTTGCGCGCCTATAACACCGGGTGTGCCGCCAGGAAGCGGAACACCGGACCCCTCGCATGTCTTCGGGGACGCCAATAAATTTTCCGCATCGTTAAGAAAGTTCTGAAACATACGACGTTCGATAAACGAAAAACGATCGAACAAAACGATAAAGCGTTAAACGAAACCACTAAAACCGATCGGAGATCATACATTTGGGTCCTCCACGATGATATCCATTGTCGTGGCTGCAGCAGTACCAATCACGTTTCCCGACGAAACGTTTCGCTGCATCGACATTTCTATGTTTGCATTTGTGTCGTGAAACGAGACTCTTTTGATGGACGTTGGTTGTTGCATATGAGTCGACAACGACAACATCGAGGTTGCGTTCATGTTATTCGATCTTAGAGTACCTTGCTGTGACATTATCGCGTAACTAGATCCTCGTTCTGGTGGCAAAGGTGCTTCGTTATTTCCATTCTGGTTAGCTGAAGAAAGAGAATACGGATAAACGAGACGCTTGCTTATATGCTCCTCGACGATTCCGATTGCATATGTATATAGCAAAGTTTACTTACACGATACATGCGGTCCATTGATAACCAAATTCTCCAATCGTAATAGACTCGGGTGCAACGGTTGTTGTTGGTTTTTGTGTTGAGATTGCGAGTGCTGATGCTGTTGAAGTTGTTGTTGTTGTTGTTGTTGTTGTTGTTGTTGTTGTTGTTGTTGTTGCTGCTGCTGCTGTTGCTGGTGGTGATGATACATTTGTTGAAGCTGCTGCTGCTGCTTCGCATCTTCTTCCTTCTTCTTCAGAGTATCGTCAAACTCCATTTGTTTTCGTTTAAGTTCGTCCGGTCTACGTGGCATTTCCTTATCTTCAGCGAGAGAACTGGTTTTGTGAGTAGCGGTCATGTGAATCAACGAAGACATTGGTATCTGTCCGAGATGGTTTTGCGATTGATTGGACTGATCGCGTTGATGATTTTGTGGAAATTGTAAACCGGAATTTTCCTGCATCACCTGCGAAGAAACGTTTTGGGAAGATTGTTGCGCTACGACGGGATGCGGGGGCATAGCGGTCGTCGAATGTAGCGACGTTCCCAGGGATTGAAGCCCGTGAGTTGCGCGAACGGACTGTCCGGTAACGTTCGATTTAGGCAAATTCGGATTCGGTTGCTCCTGCGGGTTGTTGCGGTCTTGAATATTGGCCGCGCGAAGCAAACCTTGAACCCTTTGTATACTCTCGGCGTCCATGTCGTTGCTTTCTTCGTCGTCGTCTTGTTGATTGGCAGCTTCTTCGGCTCTCTTTTGGAAGTCTCTTTCCAATTGAAGAGCTCTAAGTTGCTCCTCCTGTTGCGAACTTCTGTGAGGTAACGCGCTCAATTCGGCTATTTGTTGGTCACGCCATTGCCTCGCAGCTTCCCGTCTGCGCGCTTGTTCCTAAACAGTATACAATGATAACGTATGTGCGAACCGTGTCGGCTCGATTTGTCAGTGAAAAGAATTCTACCGTCGCGCGCGCGTCGTACCTTCTCTCTCTCTTCCCGCTGCCAAGGATTGGTGGCGCTGTACTGGTACTGTCGCGGCTGTAACATGGTTCCCGCAGTTCCGTTGGCAGGATAATATCCTCCACGAGGCGGGTCTTGCATACTCGCCGTGTACCTGTTGGAAAAAAAGGGAAGAATCTATATTCTTAAAGTGCCCGTGATATTCCGATCGTTCGAATCGGTCGCGTCGTACCTCGAATCCGATTGTTTGTTATAAAGAGGATGCGTGGACGCGTTCGGCGGTGGCGGCGGTGGACTCTCTCCGAAACCTTCTTCCGGAAGAGCGGGTCGTATCGGAATTACTTCGTTGGTTTGGACGGAATTGTTTCCTTCCGGTACGGGTTGCGATCTATGCATATCGCTGTCACCGGAATACTGATCGTTTCGCAGGTCGGTGCTGCCATTTAAATAATACTGCGATCCGACGATAAAATGTCGATTCTGGTCCGCGTAGGTTCTACTCGTTTCTTGATTATTCGAATCTTTTCCATAATCGAACGATGGCATTCCGCCGTTCGACTGTAGACGGGTCGAGTCGGTTTTCCCTCTGAACGGTGGTGCGACGTATTGAGCATGACCCAAACTCGTTTGCTGCGCATTTTGGTGTTGATGCTGGTGTTGCTGTTGCTGCTGATGCTGATGTTGGTGCTGATGTTGATGCTGATGTTGGTGTTGAAGCTGAAGCTGAAGCTGATGCTGATATTGATGTTGATGCGAATGCTGGTGCTGATGAGCGGGCGGAGATTTTCCATACTGAGCTACGTACTGTCCGTACTGCGCGTCCATGTAGCCGTAAATCGAACCGGCGGTTTGTCTCGCGGTATGCCCGGATGCCGGTGACATAACTCCTCCGGGCATCCCGACCGTTGGATTCGTTCCTAAATTCGGCGAGGAACCGATCGATTTGATCGGCCTTGTAGTCATATTGGTCGCTTGAGCGGTGACGGTAGATTTCACGTTGTAGGCGGCCGGTCGATACTGAGCGATCGTGCCTGGCACCGGAACAGGAACGGGAACAGGTACGGGAGTCGGGGCAGACGTCGACGTCGACGTCGAAGACGAGGACGATGCCGACGTCGATACCGATGCCGAAGCCGAGACCGCCGAAGGTGGTACGCCACCCCGCAACTCCCGTCTTCTCACTTCCTCTTGCATTTCCTGAAGTTTCGCTTCTTGCCGTATTATATCCCTAGATGATTGCGATCTCGGCGGTGGGCCTGTGGATTGTTGCTGCGATTGCGTACCGAGAAAAGACGGCTGCTGCGCTTGAGACGCGTAAGCCGATATCGGCCTGTCCCTGGGCTGACTCGCGTCGAACGTGCTCGGACGATTCAAAGAACTCTGAGAACCTCTCGAGCTCTTTTGCAACTGTAAAGTGTTCCTGGAATAAAAACTAAAATAGTAGATCGCTCGGTCTAAAAAAGAAAAAAGTATAACGAGTTACCTTTCGTCCAAAAGTTGAGACGGACTGCATCGCTGCTTCGTCGACGGATCTTGATTTCTATAAACGCTCAAATTTTGATAGAATCTTTCGGCTTCGTTGCTCTGAAGCGCGGTAGAACCGATTGCTCCGATAGCGATCGAACCGCTGCTGTTCCCGGTGTTTTGACAAGGATTCAAATTTGGCGACGATTGCTGTCTGCTCACGAGTCCGCTAGGCGGCAATGTTCCCATTCGTATCGGATCGTGTAAATTGTGACTGGAGCTATTTTGGACAACGAACGCGATATCGATGGAAAGTTCGAGAACGAGGATGCAACGACTCGAAACTACGTATAATTACCGAGAACGCAACGTCGTTGAACCGTTGATCGCGATCATCGATGGGGGCTGCGCAACCGGAGGTGTCACGCTGTTGCTGGACGATGCTCTACTGTAACCAGGGTTGAATACCTCGTGCTGTTGCTTTCCTTCTGTGCCAACGTCTGTAAACGATGCGTCGGTGTTACACACGAGTTTATCTCTAGCTCGTATCGTCCCATTTTTAAATATGCGGTATACACGACATGTACAGTTACACGGTAAAACGCAAGGAATCGCACGATTATTATTGGGATTGCGTTAACGATCACCCCTGAAGTAAACATATATGTATACGAGTACGCGAGTACGAGTACGAGTAGCGAGTGCGCGTGCGAGTGCGAGTGCGAGTGCGTATGCGAACGCGGTGTGAAACGAAGAGAGGGAAAGAGAGAGCGAGAGAGAATTTGATGAAGCAAAAGAAAGCGCGCATCGTCAAGGTAAAATCGCCATGAAAGTTACTTACTGTGCAACGCTGGCACGGATTTGCTGGTATGCATTTGCTGCTGAGGAGCAGCGACGTCGCGTCCGAGCCGTGAAGGTAAATCTCGTTCACTCATGCGACGAGGTCCTGCGGTAAGCACAAGATGCAAAACACATTTTTCGGTGGTTCGTCGTATTAGTTCGTACAAAGAATAAAACATCGGGAACAATCGCACAATGCATGCAAACTGGCAGCATGTAACAACACGCGCAAACTACGTTTACTTCCGGACGCGCGCGGTCCAACGTATGAAAATAGAAAATTAAAGAAACACGAAAACGGAGGCGTAAGCAGCAGCGAAGGCAAAAGTCCTACATAAATGTACAGCAAGCATTGGTCGAAAACGCAGATTTTCGACGAAATTATACGATCGAACGATATTGTAGAAACGTTCCAAACGTACACGAAAGGCAACCGTTCACGGTAGAATCGTTTACATGCGACATCGTCTAAGAGTTGGCAGCTACTACGTCATACTTTACGTTCAAGCACATGTTCTAATACAAGTATCGACCCTCGGATAACACAATCGCGATCGCGACAAAAATAATCGAGCCTCGCGCGGGCAGTTGCTAATCGTTCAACGAAAAAATTTCGGCATGCGTGGTGAAAATTGGTGGGTTGCGTAAAATTCGCCTGCATCGGGTGAACATCGACAAGCGTGCCGTGTACAACGATCGTTTTTAATCTCGGCAGGCATGCGAATTTGAAGAAACGCGGACATAGAACATCGGCTGCTTACGTAAAATAGAATCGACTTGTACAGAAATTCGACCTAGCGAACTGCGAAACGTCCGTCGATACGCGATGGACTCGTTTGCTTCGGTTTCGTCGCTCGCCGACAACGTCTCTTGATACTTGTTGTCGTCGCTGCTTGATTCTTTTTTATAACCTTGATTCTTTACTCGGTTGGTGTCGACCGATAAGCAAACATTTTTGATTTCTGGTACAAACGTTCCGGTCTCGTCGACGGTATGCAATAAAACTTTGTCGATCGAACGTCTATTTCGACCACGATCGCAGATCGGATCGTTCTTGTCGTCGTTCTCATCGTCGCGATCGTAACCATCGTTATCGTCGTCGTCGTCGTCGTCGTCGTCGTCGTCGTCGTCGTCGTCGTCGTCGTCGTCGTCGTCGTCGTCGTCGTCGTCGTCGTCGTCGTCGTCGTCGTCGTCGTCGTCGTCGTCGTCGTCGTCGTCGTCGTCGTCGTCGTCGTCGTCGTCGTCGTCGTCGTCGTCGTCGTCGTCGTCGTCGTCGTCGTCGTCGTCGTCGTCGTCGTCGTCGTCGTCGTCGTCGTCGTCGTCGTCGTCGTCGTCGTCGTCGTCGTCGTCGTCGTCGTCGTCGTCGTCGTCGTCGTCGTCGTCGTCGTCGTCGTCGTCGTCGTCGTCGTCGTCGTCGTCGTCGTCGTCGTCGTCGTCGTCGTCGTCGTCGTCGTCGTCGTCGTCGTCGTCGTCGTCGTCGTCGTCGTCGTCGTCGTCGTCGTCGTCGTCGTCGTCGTCGTCGTCGTCGTCGTCGTCGTCGTCGTCGTCGTCGTCGTCGTCGTCGTCGTCGTCGTCGTCGTCGTCGTCGTCGTCGTCGTCGTCGTCGTCGTCGTCGTCGTCGTCGTCGTCGTCGTCGTCGTCGTCGTCGTCGTCGTCGTCGTCGTCGTCGTCGTCGTCGTCGTCGTCGTCGTCGTCGTCGTCGTCGTCGTCGTCGTCGTCGTCGTCGTCGTCGTCGTCGTCGTCGTCGTCGTCGTCGTCGTCGTCGTCGTCGTCGTCGTCGTCGTCGTCGCCGTCGTCGTCGTCGTCGTCGTCGTCGTCGTCGTCGTCGTCGTCGTCGTCGTCGTCATCCTTGTCCGATCGAGAATGTTGTATCAATTTTCTTATCGTTTTCGTCAATGGAATCGGCTTCTCCAGAGTTGGATAGGATTTGGAGAATCGTTTGGACCACCGAGACTCGATCGAATCGATTTTCGTGACGTACTTTCGAACGAGACGACGCTCGTCGATTCCATCGCTCGAAGATCCGACCACGTTTCTATTCAACGGATAAAGCAGTCCAGACGCGTCGTCGAGATTCGTCATTTTCTGGAGCTGATCTATTACTCGTCGTTGCTCCGACAACGATAACTTGTCTCTTCTATCGACGTGTCTCCGATTCCGACGGAGGGAGGGAGAAACATTTTCCGCGCGTTTCATCGAAAGCTCGTGCACGCTCGCGAAGCGCTTCCCCGCGAGAGACGAAATCCTCGAACACGTGTGCGCGTTACAACTCGTCTCGTGGTTTGCTGCACGCTCTTTCGTTCTGCGTCTCAAGTTCAATTCCGACAAATACTCTCTGTCCACTGCGGGAAATCGGTGTCTCGATCGTATCTCGTAGACTTCGGGCGACACAAAATTTGGTTCGGAGGCGAATTTTCTGCAAGCGCCGGACAACCTTCTGTCGACTACGGTCTGGGCCAATTCGGTGCTGCCGAGCTTTGAAAAATGTCTGGCCAAAGCCGCGACCCTGCCGTATCCGAAACGTACTTCTTCCGGTGATTTCCAACGTTTTTCGTAGCTGGATATGTCGCTGGAATTGTCACTGTCCCAACCAGATAAATCGAGATTCAGTTCCGGGATCGTGGTAAACATTTTGGGAACTACGGTAGCATGGTTTCTCGTTTTTGTTTCATGTTCCCTCGACTCCGATTTGCTCAAACATTCGACAACGTCCCCCTTCTTTTCCCCATGTAGTTCTTCTTCGTACGATTCGCTCGTAAATCGATGTTGTTCGTTTGCTTTTTGACAGCTTGACTCCGTCGTGTCGTTATTTTCAACATAATCATCGACGTTTGATTGAATCCGACTCAACGACTCCATGGAGCAGACCCGCAAAATACCGGTCGTTGGAATTATCGCAACACCACCACCATCGTTATCGTCGTTGTTACCACTATCGGCAGCAGCAACAGCATCACCACCACCACCACCACCACCACCACCACCACCACCACCAACACCCTGACTACAGCCGGTTTCGTAACCACCATCCGGTGGACGTTCATCCAGTTCGTCGAATTCATCCAATTCATCCAATTCGTTAAGTTCGACGAGTCGATCCAATTGATCCAATTCGAGCGGTTCGTCGGATAAAAGTTCCATGGCTTGATCGATATAGGGTATAGAATCGAGAGAAAATGGTTTACCGGGCATATTTTCACCGACTGAAAATCGATTTGAATGGTGAATCGACAAAGTCGTGTTCGCAAGGTTCGGAACGTGATTATCACCCTTCGAATCGATCGAATCGCGCAAATCGTCCAACGGGCGTCCAGCACCAGCTTGTACCGGGCAAGACAGACTCGCGATTTGCGCCGACCGCGAAACTGTACCGATCGCACCGATCGTCGTATCAATTGTACCTTCTTCTTTTCCCCGAAGCGGATCTTTCGTCGATATCGCGTCGACTGCCCGAGTCGAGATTTCACAACGTGGAGGAACGCGCGAACGCGAATCGAACCCGTCTATTTGCACCTCGAAACGCGGAAATGGAATCGCACCTGATCTTGCCACTTCGTCGATCGAACGTGTCCCTGAATCGATAGGGTATCTTGGAACGCTCAACAAATTACCCATCGAATGAGACGTGGACGGCTGCTCGACCGCATCCTGAACCTCCGATGATTCCAAGTGCTCTGACTTGGGTCGATTCTTGTGCACTGCTTAGGAACAATCAGTTAGTAAAGCGTTAGTGAAGCAATGGTATCCGTAGCTCTCGAGTTCTCGCGAGTCGGACCGAGATAGGTGTAAATGCGAGCAAGAATGATCGGAGAAAAGCCTTGGACAAGTTCGAGATTGTAGGAGAATTGCGCGAGTATATACTGTCGCGTAAAACCTCCGACCGACCCGAAAAGCGTGACGAGTACGGAACGGAAAGGTAGGGAGACAAAACGGAGGGACAGGGAGACGGGATAGGTAGAATATACCGGCGAATCCGTACCTCTGGTCATAACGGGCGAGGGTTGCGACAACAGAGTAGCCAGTCCATGGTATATGGCACCTTGCTTGGCAACTTCGAGGGTTACTATAGGACCGGTGCGCACCAAGTATTCGGCAGCTCTGAGAAAGAGACGGATAGGAAAAGATACACGATAATTGTGAGAAATGTTGTGCCAGGCGTTCGATCTAAAAGAAAATCTACTCACTTCTCTTGAGTGATTCCAACCAAGCTCTGGCCGTCCACCTTTAGCAACTGATCGCCAGCCGTTAATCTACCATCCTGTGGAAATGTCGAGGAAATGCCATAGAGAATTAGAAACGGAACGATATTTTTATTGTTACAAAGAATTGGAAACTCACGGCGTCGGCCGCACCGCCCGCAACAACGCTCTTTATGTATATTCCGAGTCTGTCTTGACCGGCACCCTATAAAAAGTCACAGTTGCAGTTATATAGGCGCTAAAGATAGCGATACGCTGTCTGCTTTAGGATGGTACTATACGATACTTTTGCCGCGACGATGCTCAAGCCCATTCCGTTCGTGGATTTGTGCAACTTGATCACGTGAATCTCCGGTTGGACCGAGGCGGAGCCCGCGTTGCAGACGTAGCCACCGGATCGGTTGCTCATCGCGCTGGGACTACGAAACTGCGAGCAACGTATCGTTTAATCCGTCGAGTACTCGAAACGCGACATCCGACGATCGAACGAATAGCAAACTCGTCGACTCACGTTGTTATAGTGATCTATCATGTATATAGTCCAATATCCGCTACTGGTGGGCTGAGCCGCCATTCGACACAAGCCGTCCCGTTGCAAGGGTGCTAAAAACTCGGCGAGTCCCGGCGGCACGCCTCGAATCACCTCGCAACTGTACCCATCTTCGGGCAGCAGAAGGGCCAAGCCGAGCGTAGGTTCCTCCTCGAGCCTGATCTCCCTACCATCGGCTCGCGCGAGCGTGTCGGCGACCCCTTCGGTCACCTGAAATTCGAATGTACCGTCGTAACGGGATGCGACGGGTCGATCGATCGCGAACCAATGTATCTCGAAGCGTTCGCCGTTTAATTTGAACAACGGAAACGCGACGTAGAATAGAGAAAATACGATTCGATGCTACGAAACGAAACGAAACGAAACCGTAAACGATGGAATAACCGTAATAAACGGTACAACGAACGACGGTACGCGACAACGAGCGACGAATTGAAATAATTGGTGCTCGATCGGGACGACCGTAGACACACACACACACACACACACTTAACCACCGACTTACTCTGACCACGTTTTCGATCAACTCTGCCGGAAGTCTCGGCTCGTCCGCGGCTGGCTGATATTTTTGCAACAGTGCCCTGACTTGAAGGGAATTTAGTTTGAAGCAGGTCGAGCTCAAGGTAGCGAGCTCCTCCGCGTTATATTTCGGCGCTTGAAGAAGATGAGTCGCTTGCATGATCGTCGCCAAGTGACACTGACTCGCGAGCTCGAGGCCCTGCCTCTCGGCCCAAGTCTCGAGAGCGTTCAATCTCGCTTTCAGTCGGCGACCGAACCATCTTACGCACAAATTCGTGTTCGAAACCAAAGCGTTGAATGCCGTCGCGTTGATCGTGTGGAACAGATGACTGAACAATTGAATCGTGAGAGCGGCGTTCACTCTGCATCGTCTCAATAGAGCCATCGTACTCGAGAATATCTGCAAAACTCCGGCTTCCTTGGCTGGTTCGTCGGCATCGGCCATAAACTGCGACATGGCCGGCGCAAGCTCGAGAGAAATGCATCGCACCAACGACGCGAACGCTTCGTGGACCGCTTCCGTCAAAATGTCTTGCGCCCTCGTCGAAAACGCTCCAACGTGGCGATCGTTCTTCAGCATGTGCAACAGCTCCGAGCCGTTCGCCAGCCACAGGGCCAACGACGACGCGTCCATGTACCGTTCCTGCCGACACACATCGCACCGCGTCGTCTCTCTATCATCGAATACGAGTAGTAGTAGTAGCCTACGCGCGGTAGTAGGTGTCTAGATGCCCCTGGCTAGCGGTCCCCGCCAGGTCGTATCGCTGGCCGCTGGCCATTACCTGGATTACTCGGTGTATCGTACCGGCCACGTTCGCCAGCATCACCGTTAACCTATGCGCTCTCTCCGTTGGCTGCAACTCCGGTCTGTAATGCGTGCTCGCGCGATACCTCGCCGCCAGGTAAAGCGTATACGTTGGAGCGAGTTTGAACTGAGGCGCCGACGGTTCCACGTCCGTTATCACCGCATGGAAGAACGTTTCCTCCGTTTCCTCGAGAAACTCCAGCACTGCCGGTAGAATCGGGTCCGTTCCACGTGGTTGTCGCTCGTTTTGCAATTGCCTGTCAAATCGTCGAAACGTTAAAACGTTCAAATATCGAAACGATCGCATTTCCTACGCTCTACCTATCGCTGACCACCCTCTATCTTCGCTGTTCTCGCAATACTTTCCCGTGGTCTACGACACGTACATTTAGCGATATCGCACCGATCTACATATACATATACATGTACATGTACACATGCGCGCGTACACGTACACGTACACGTACATATATCACGTTCGCGTACCAACGACGGCACGTTTCGTCGTCGCTTCTTCGAGATGGTACCATCACCGGCTGTTTACCTGTTACCGTCCCTGCTGCTAGTGAGACTGGCAGTCTCGACGTTTCCGTCAAGATCGAACGTGGTTTCGTAATTGTGCGTCGATTCCGGAGCAGGATTCGGACTTCGGGGAAGGCAAACGGCAGCAGCGGTGCCGGAAACGGACGTCGACTTGCTCCGACTACACGAATGCGACGAAGACTGATCTTGACCCGGTTGATTTTGCGCTTGTATCTGCCCACCGTTCGGAGTTCCGGACACGGAACCGTATCTTTCCGCGTTCGTCTCTTGGATGGTCAAGTCTGGGGATCGTCTACGGTACAGAAGCAGGTCGCGTGCAGGAAAAAAAACAAGCGAACCAAAAAGACAGGAATAGAGTAAGGAAAATAAACGAGAAGCGAAACGCAGAAAAAGCTCGGGCACGATAAGCGGAGATTTTGGACGACTCGAATAATCTTTCGAATTCGCGTTTACGCGACACTCTCGAAATATTGCATGCTCCGTCTCTCCTTCTCTAGTTTGCTCGTCGAACAACTTCTCTCTGCTCTCTCTCTCTCTCTCTCTCTCTCTCTCTCTCTCTCTCTCTCTCTCTCACCTCCGTATTTCGAATTTTGCCCATCGACTATCGCCTACGGTGGAGATTATCGTTACGTCTGGTTTACCTTCGGCGCTCCGATTCCGAATCTCCTCGCCGGTTACGCTCGGCTTCTATGCCAGATCGAGCACCCGTTCGAGATACTAAGAGGACCATCGAGTTTCGAACGAAACAACGAACAAGCGAAACGTGGCTACCTGGTCCGATCGCCTCGCGAACGAGTATGCGCTTACCGTTCGTAGCCGTATTCGATCTGTCTTCCGGAATCGTGGCGTTGCCTCATACGTTCTTCGGGAGCCGGATCGATGAATCGAAAAGTGTGCAATCTGCCAAATTTAACGATCGCGCCGTTCTACCAACGAAAAACATTGTTTGAATCGTCGCGCGACACGATGGAATCGCGCGATGGAACGCGCTCGACGATGAAACAGCGTTTTACCTGAAGTATCGTCGTCTGATGTATCCTCTGATTGTTCACATAAGTGTGCGCATCTCTGGAACAAGGCGTCAAAGTGACGATGTTTTCGGTAAAAGCGATCACGCAATGCCTCGGCATGACAGTGGGTCCGGTCAAAGTGAGGGTCTGAGCTTGAACCGCTTGCGGACCTACCGGTCTTTCCGAACCCACCTCCGTCACGTTGGGCTGTAACCGGTGCCGAGTTCCTGCCCCGTGTGGAACGTCGCTGCCATCCGGGTTCAATTCCAACAGAAACGGCAGTCTTTCGTCCTCGTACCTGCGAACGTTCGATTTCGTAAACCACGAGCATTCGCTCCGTGTCTCGACCGCCTGTACGCGCCATCCTCCTTTTTCGCCCGTGTTCACCCTACGCCGATTCGCTCTTCTTCTTCTTCTTCGCTCACCTGTAATCGATCTCGTTCCATTTTCCGTTAGGTTTTTTCTTGCGTTTCCGAGGTACGTAATCGGCGGGTCTTCTCCGAACGTGAAACATAATCGAACCTAAAAACAAAACGAAGATTCCTTAAACATCGTTTCGTACCGCGAACTATCGGAAACGATTCCGTTCTATCTT